CCGTGTTCAGGGAGACGCCGTCCCTGGGATTCTGAAATTTGTTTTTGTTGATACAGAAGAGATGTGCATGTTTGCAGTGCACGTGTGATGATTCAATACGTTCTTATCATTTGTGAAGGTCAAATCAGGGTGAGGGGGATGTCCGTCACCTTAAATGTTGGGCTTTTCTTTATGTTAGAAACACTGGAGTTACTGTCTTCTGGCTCTTTTGAAAGACGCCGTAGAATATTGTGAACTGTACTCACCCCACCGGTCTGCGACACACTGGGCTCTGCTCCTTCTACCAAGCTGTGTATCTGTGCCCGTCAGTCAACCTCTCTCCCCCCGCCCCTGTTCCCGGCCTCTGGTCACCAAGCTACTCCCTAGTCCCAGGAGATCCACGTTTTAAACTCCCACCCCGAGTGAGAGCACGTGCCGTTGGCCTCTCTGTGCCTGGCTCGTCCACTCGGCACGCCGACCTCCGGGGCCACCCCCGTCGCTGCGCATGTCAGGGCTTCATTCTTCATAGCTGAATAGTATTCCGTTGTGTGTCACTTGCAGGAATCCAGCAGGTCCTCGGCGAGACCTTGTCTGTCTGTGGGGGGGTCGGCAGTGACTGACGCTTGCCCCCAACCTCACGGGGGCTTGTCCTGAAAAGGGGCCGATGGAGGGGAAAACAGTTCTCTCCCGCCCCACCGGTGGGGGGCGCACAAGTTCGTTTCAGGGAATTTGTTGGAAGTCTGCAGGAAGCATCAGCCTCTCTCCCCTGAGAGCTTGTGATCCTATCCCACCGGCCGTCTGGACTCGTTCGTTCCAACCTGTTATTGAAAATAAGCTGCGCAGGGAGCATCCCCAGCCTGGTGTGGCCCCGTCCCCAGGTCCCCGGGTCCCCAGGGGCTGAGCTTCGGGAGTGGGGGGGTCACCCTGTCACCCCGGGGGACACGGCGGCCTTTCCAGCGTCACAGAGGACGAGATCGAGCGTGCAGCTACTCGACACTTGGAGACATCCGTGCAGTCAAAGATGCCACAAACCAAGATCAAAGGCAAACGCAAACAGGGGGAGAGGACCTTCAGCGTGTCACAAAGGGTGGGTAGTGCCCCCACCAAGCAGGGACGACCCTGCCTGCAGAAAGACGGGCAGGAGACCAGACAGGTGCTTTCACAAACCGCACTGCGGCAAACGCGCCTCGACGGCGGCCAGGCTGCCTGCTGTGGGACCGGCAGACTCCGCCGTGCGCCGTAGAACCGATTCTGGCCGGAGACCTGAGCAGAGAGCTGCCCGGGGAAGGCCAAGCTGGCAGGTCCGTCCAGGGGTGGAGAAGGGGCAGAGGGGCGCATGCCGGCACCGGGTCCGGGTCCCAGAAGAAGGGAGCACGTTTCTGCACAGAGATCTGCAAGGAGGGTCGCTGCACGCAGCACAGAAGGCCGCGGACCACCTGCGTGGGTTTCACAGACCACGGTAGAGAGGAACGCAGCCACCAAAGACGCCGCAGGACGTTTATTGACATGGGACCGTGTCCAGGGCACACCGCTGAGCGGACTGCGAGCCGCGGGGACACCGGCAGTCCAGTGCACGCTGTTTTTCAACAAGGACGTGAGGAATTCGGTGACCAGGTGTCGAGGCCGTGGGACGCTGGTCCTCCCGAAAGCCCTCAGGGAACCAGGGACCCTCGTGCGTGTGGTGGCGGCAGAGAGAAGAAATGACCGGCCACGATGGCCGGGGTCTTCGCTCACCTCCCGACGAACCACCCTCCACCCCCACTGACGCGGTCGCGAGAATCCTCGGGCGGGGCGTGTGCTTGAGAACCACGCAGCAGACCGGGCAGGACGGGCACCGCCAGGACCCGCGAGTCGAGGGGCTCAGGGGACGAGGACACAGCTGGGCGGGAGGCGGCGCCAGCCACAGCGGCTCCTGCGATCGCTCGAGACCCTGAGCTTCAGACCAGGGGTGTTCGTGGCGGAGAGGGAGCCTGGCCGCCCGTCCACCGCCCTTCTCTGCGATCACGGACGGCGGTGCAGCCGTGGCCGGCGTCTGCCTGGGTCTGCGTTCCAGCAACAGCCCCGGCCGGCTGCTCCACCGCGGCGTTCTGTCCTCGGCTCAAGTCGGGGAGACGCTGTCCACACCGCAGGACCCGTGTGGGATCTGGGGAGTGATCGCGGTGGTTCCCACGACTCACGCAGGAAGCCTTCCATCAATGCGTGGGGCTGTTGTTAACCTTGGCACCGTTTCCGTATTTTCCAAGCACGGCACGACCTCTTTCCAAGGAAGTTTCGCTTGGTTAGGAGACATAAAAATCCGGTTCGGGCATAGGCAGAGCCCGGACCGCCAACTCCACCCCTCCTCACTCACCGGCCGGCAGTGCACACGTGGTTCGCCAAATGCGTGTTCTCCGTGTTCCCCGTGTTCCCAGCAGCGCTGCTCACAGCCGCCCGCCCTGCGGTGGGGAAAGAGGCTAGGGTGTGTTTACTCCTGCGACGGCACACACGGCGCAGCACAGACGGCGGCCTGGGCCAACCTCGCAGACGTGGCGCATGAAATGAGCCAGACAGGCAGATACGCGTGATGACGCCGCGTGTGGATGCAAGGGGGCGGCCGGCGGTCACGTGTGCCTCACTTGCACATCGGAAATGCAGTTTCCAGACCACGCCGACCAGCGACGCCATCAGCAGGCACGAGACCTTAGATCTTGAGTCAGAAGAAGTTTGGGACGAGAGCCCCAGGGTCCCGAAAGCGCCACGGGGCACAGGCTGCCCCGCTCCCACCGCTCACCCGGGGACCCGAGAGCCTGCCGCCACCTCAGCCGCCTCAGCCGCACCTCCTCCCAGAGCCAGGTTCCTGCGTGCGGCAAAGTCTCGGAGGAAGGTCCTGCCTCCGAGCTCTCCTGTGCAAGGTGACGCTGGGGCCAGGGTGGGCGGGAGGTCGGAGGGCAGAGGGCGGAGGGCAGAGAGCAGAGGGTGGACAGCGGAGGGCAGAGGGCAGAGGGTGGCTCCTGCTGAAGGCGGGAGAGCCTAGGACAAGGCCGGGTCTCCGTGGAGGCTCTAAGGCGCCAGCGTCCCGACTCACGTGGCTGCTCCTCGAACGTGCAGCTCGCGGGCCGCCCTCGACACGTGGCTCCGCCGGCCGGGGCTGCGCTGGGAACCGGCTTTTAAACAAGCCCTGTGTAGCCGAGGAGCCGCCTCAAAAGGAGAAAGAAAGAGATGAGAATAAACAAGCCCTCCCACCCCGCCCAGTGGGGCCCTGCAGGTGGTTGAGGAAGCCCCTTCCGGAAGGTGTGGCCCTGGCTCTCGTTGGAACACCATGCTCAGAGAGGGTGTGCCCCCCCACCCCCAGGCAGCAGGCGGCAGCGGGACCCCCAAGGGACGCACAGCGTAGCCAGGCCCAGCCCGGGGGGGGGGTACCCACCGGCCACGCCCTGGGCTTTGGCCACATCCCGGGGTCCCGGGGGTGCTGCAGAGGGTGTGGCAGGCTCGGTCCCTGCCCTGGTGGGCGTCAGAGTGGAGCCAGGGAGAGAGACCTTGCGCAGGAACATGCCGGAAGGAGTTCTGGGCCATGGGGGCCTGTGACAGGCAGGGCCCCAACCCCATCTGCCGGGACCCCCTGGGGACCCCCTCGAGGACCAGAGCAGGCCTCCGGAGGAGGGCGTGGCGGTCAGGGAGCACGAAAGAGTGGGAGGAAGTGAGTGCCAGAGAGTCACCTCAGGTCCGGCGAGTGCCCGACCAGGGCCCGGGCGAGACGGAGCTGCGCAGGGCCCTCGGCGGGGGCCGGCGGGAGCACCCCAGGCTTGGGGCGTCCGCCAGCTCCTGGCCTGTCTGTGTGCCGTGAGCGACTCCGCGCCTGCTGTCGTCTGTGAGACGCTGTGCGTGTGCATGCAGTGAATGAGCTACCGCTGTGCAGGCTGCCCGTGCATGCTGCCGTCGGCACGGCGCTGCACGCGTGTAGCAGGAACCCACGCGTGGGCCTGGGGACACAGTTCCCCTGAGAGACGCTGGCGTCAGAGGGAGTCCCGGGAAGGTTCCAGCCCGCACTGGGGACCCCGTGCAGCGGCGGACGCCCGCTCGGGTCTCCAGGCGCCCGGGCTCGGCGGGCGCGGCCGCCCTCTCCTGGCCGGCGAGGAACTGCGCAGGGGCTGGCGGCGGTGGCTTGACCAGGGCTCCCCTCGGTTCCAGAGACAGCCAGAGCCTGAGCAGAGCGAGGCTCCAGCAGGGACGGCGCAGTGAGGGTCTCCGTGCTGACCGGAGCCCCACACGTCCGGCTGTGACGTGAGGCCCAGCTGGACGCCCTGTGCACGGAACCGACCGGAACTGGGAGAAAGACACTTTTCAGCAGACCTGGAGCTCCGGCCCCTGCAGGTGCACCTGCGGCGGGCTCCTCCCCGCAGGTGGGGCCACAAACTGCTCACGGGGAGCAGGTCTGTTTCCCGGCCCGGGTAGACCAAGTTACTGGGCCGCGGTCCCTGGAACGGGGCCTGTGGGTCCGTCCCCCTCACGCGGTGCCGGGACAGCCCCACAGCCAGCCCAGGGATGCCTGCCTGCCGGTCACACGTGCTGTGCTCGGAGCTCCCTGCCCCATCCGACCTCGGGGTGCTGCTCTCTGCCCCCCGAGACGGACAGTGGGGGGGGCGCAGAGCCCCCTCTCTCCTCCCCGTGCGGGGCAGCGGGACGTGGGCACCGAGAGGGCCTGGCGGCTCTTGGGCCGCAGCAGAGAGCTGGGCTCTGACACACTCTGTGAGACGTGGCCGCCACGGACAGGCGGACATCTGCAGCGTACACGGGGTCACCAGCGCACATGGGACGAACCCAGCATGGAGGGGCCGGGACAGCGCGAGGAAGCGTGGGGAGGGCTGAGAAGGACACACTCAAGTGTGAGTAACTGGAGTTATGGGAATCTGGGGTGTGTTTCCACATAATGTGGGTGGGCTGGGAGGGGGAGCGGGGTGGTAGAGGAGGAGGAGGAGGACGGGGGCACGGGGCAGGGGTTGGAAAGGGGGAGGAGAGTGGAAGGAGGAGGAAGGGGGGGGAGCGGGCAGCTTCCCGGGCAGGGCAGGTGGGTGCTGTCATGCTGGAGCCGGCCGTGGTGCCTCCTGCCCTCTGGGCTTTGTCCTCGTGTTTGTTTCCAAAAGGAAGAGCTGCAGAGTGGGTGGTGAGCGCACATGGGACGGGACTGGTGCTCCTCAGTCAGGCGGCCCTGAGCTCCTCGGGGACCTAGGTGCAGTGGCGCAGGCGGCTCACCCCAGCCTGGGCTCGGAACATGGGGTGTCACGTGGAGGTGAAGTTCTGGATGGTGCTCTGAGGCGTGAAGGGGAAACAGAGGCAGCACCCAGCGGGGCGCCATCCTGTGGGGTTTCAGCCCTGCCAGCCCCACCCACCTGCGCCAGCCACCCGGCCTGCCCCACCCACGGGTCGTGCCTGGGGAAATGCCCCGCCCACCCGGAAGACGGGGACTTCATCCCACCAGAGAATTATGGCTTTTTCAATGTTTCCACCCTGGCTCCCCGTGACAGGTCACCCGAAACCCCATGACCCCCATGACCTGCCACTTCCTGAGCGCGGGGGCGGGGCTGTGAGTCATCCTGCCTCGCTTTGACAGGAGCAGGACAGGCCAAGAGCATCAGCAACCAGCGAGGCCCCCAGGACCGCTGCCAGCCCCTCCCCCAGGGGCTCCCCATCCAGGGAATCCCCCCCCCCACCAGGTGAGTGCTCCCAGGGGAGGTCTCAGGGGATGGCCTGCCACACAGCGGGGCCTTCCTGCCCCCCCCCCCGCAGGGTGTCCTGTGTGGCCAGACTCCCCCGGGAGCAGCAGCCCCCCACCTCTGGATGGTGGCCAGTCTCACCCCTCACTCCCCTTCCACAAAGAAGGGCTCAGCAGGGACCAGCCACTCTGTCCCTGGCCACCTGAAGCATTGGCTGGCCACCTGAAGCATTGTTTCAGGGTGGGAGGGAAGGCCCACCCTAGGGACCCATCCACACTGTCCCTCTCTGGGGCAGGGACCACTGCCCACCCCACACACGGCCACCCCACACTCACACCCACGGGATGCACACGTGGCCAGGAGCTGTCCTTTCAAAGTTCCCACTAGATGGTGCATTAAAACCTTCCCGTTTGTAAAAAAGTTCTGTGCATCAGGAATAGCCCAATGACAACTCAATGGAGCCACACCTGTAATTTTACCTGTTCTCCTAGCCACACTGAAAAGAAAGGAAAACGAACAGCTGAAATTAATTTCAGTAACATCTTTTATTTAAATTCATGGTAGCCAAAATATTACGTAAGCAATACGAAGAATTATTAAAGAGCACTTTACTTTCCTTTTTTCTACTAAGTCTTTAAAAATCTGGTGTGTGTTTAGCACTCACAGCCCATCTCAGTTCAGACACGAAATTTCCATCGGAATCCTTGGCTGCACTTGGATTTCATAAAATTCACAATAAAAAGTATGTTCCCTCACCTACATTGTTCCAAGCATGCTTATAAGTCTTCAATAGTTCAAATGAGTATCGGTTTTAAGCTCTAAATTTAGATTAATTAAGGCTTAATAAAAGAAAAGTCTCTGGGCCACACGCCCAGAGCTCAGGGGCCCCACGTGGGCAGTGGCTGCCGCAGGGGACAGGCACGGAGACAGGGGAGTGGGCGTCCTGGCCAGCCCCTGGCCGGCGTCACTGAGGGCCTGCGCCCAGGCTCAGGGCCTGGTTGTGCAAACTGCTCTCCTTTCGTAATCCCTCTTCTGCTCTGCGGAGAGTCTGCCCTGACACCACACCCCCTCTGAGCCCCCCAGGTCCCAGCCCGTCAGCTGCCTGGACTCGTCCATATAAAAGCCAGTGACCTGCAGAAATTTGGATTTTGATATGTCTGCAAAAATAAGAAAAAATAAATAAAATTTTTTTAAAAAATGATAAAAGCCAGTGACCGCCCCCCCCAGGGCAGTGGGGGTGCACAGGTCAGGCTCCCAGGCCCCACACCCCACCTCCGCTGCTCTGGAGGGCTCTTGAGCCCCAATCCTGCCCCTGGGTCCTCTTCCCCTGACACCACTGACCCCCTCTCGTCCTGGGGCATGCCCAGCTCCTTCCTGCCACAGGGCCTTTGCACAGCTGCTCGCATTCAGCCACCTGGGGAGACAGGACCCCCCACAGCGGTGGCCGTGTGATGCCCCTGAGCTGTGGGGGTCGTGGTTCTGTGCAGGGGCTTGGTCCTCCGGCCCCAGAGCCGTCCCAGACTAGCCCAGGCTGCTCACGCTGGTCCACAGCCCTGACAGTGAGTTTGCGTGTGTGCTGGTGTGTGCTGCATGCGGGCGTGAGAGGCTCCCAGCACTGGAGGGAACCCAGAGGGAGTCGGGCACCCTCGGGAGAGAGAGGAGGAGGAGTGAGGAAGGCAGGGGGTCCAGGGTGGCACTTCTATAGACCTGCCCCTCTGGTCCCTCCAGCCTTGCTCACCTGGTTGGCCGAGTGTTCCTGCTGTAATGATTTAACTGGCAATGAGCCTCCCCAGGCGTCTGCCTGGCTTCCAGGTAGCCAGAAACGGGGTTTCCCTACAGAGGGCTGGGGGAGGGATCAGTCTCCGGGAACACTTTCCAGAAGGGTCCGTGTGCCTGGCAAGTGGGTAGAGTCCGCACCTGCCCCAGAGGCTGAGCATCCCCTCTGACCACGCCGGCTTGACCAGGTCAGGACAAGTTGGGCGTAGCGTTCCTGGCAGCGGGAGAGGCAGGAAATCTGCCCTGAGAAGTTACCGGAAGCCAGTGTTTCTCCCTGCTGGCGGAGACCGACCTGCGAAACTTCACTCCCAAACCACCCCAGGGCAGAAACTCCCCTCACTTCCGGCCTGGTAATTTTCCAGAGCCGAAACTTTCCTCTCAGGGGGCAGGAAGGACATTGGGCCACCACAGCTCAACCAGAAACATTACTGTGACAGAAGTCACCGCTGCCCCAGAGCCGGGCCACATGACTCAGCAGAGGGGGCGGGGCGGTGGCACTGCAGGAGAGGGGGCAGGGGAGCTGCACCCCTCCCCCCATTGCAGATCAAGTGCGTGTCTGGCCACGTGTGCGTGGCGCCTACCACGGCCAGAGCGCAGAACGCCACGCGGCAGCAGGCTCCAGGTCCCAGGGCGCGGCCAAAGGAGGAACTCGAGCTCCGTTCTTGGGGGGTGGGGGGCGTCAGGGGCGACACTTGGCGTCAAGGTCCTGGGAAGCTGGAGTGTGACATGATTTGCCTGTCACGTCACCGTGGAAATAGCAGTGGCCGAAAGGCTTCCCTGAAATGAAACCTGGACCACACCGAGACAGAAGAGAAGTCAAATCTTATCTGAATCCGTATCTTCCCCTCTTTCAGGGTGATGGCAGGATGGTAACTCCCTGCTCCCGAGGTCAGGGCCCCCACAGCTGTGCGGGCCACAGACAGTGACTGCAGCACCCCATCTCACATGGGGGGGGGACCCGGGACCAGCAGCCACAGCCACAGCCCGGGGGGGTGCCCACAGGGACCTGCTGGTCCTGGCAGCACAACCTGTCTCTGCAGACGGGAGGCCTCAGTGCCAGGACAGACCCAGGAGGTCCACTGGCCCAGCCCCCGCCCCCAGGCAGCTTCCCGGCAGCTCTGTACCTGGATATTTTTAAGGGAAGCTCTCAGTAATTATCCAAACATGTCACTATCAAAAAAGGGAAATGCCACCAACCACACTCTGCCAGTTCCGCCAGCGGATGAGGGCAGAGCAGCCTGGCCGCGACATGCCCCCCGAAAGTACTCGGCAGCCCCCATCTGGACAGGGGGAAGGGCCCGTCCTCCCCCGCCCAGAGGGGACAAAGCCACCTCGCGGTCGGGCGGGAGTCAGGGTGGTGATCGGGTCTCAGAAGAGCCGCAGCAAAGGGCTGCTCGGGGCCACGCGGTCAGCACGCGCCTCGTGCGTCCAGAGTCACCCACGTGGAGGCCCCGGAAATGAGGGCAAGGAAAATTTAAACGCAAATCCCCACTTTATGAGCTTTAATCTTAAACCGTCTTCCCATCTGCGGGCACCTACCCCGGGGTGTGGGGTGGGAGCTTGGCAGGGGGACTTGGCTGCACGTGGAGCCAGGCAAGACCATGTTCCTGCCATGCTGAGCAAGGCCAGAGGTCGCCCTCCCCCCGCCCTCCCCCTCTCTCCTCTCCCTTCCCCCTGCCCCCTCTCGGCCGGGAGCCTGTTCCTCCATCACCACTCTCAGGAACACCCCGCCCAGCCCAGTGAAATTCCCAGCATTTTTCATTCTTTGGTTTATGAGACAATGTTGTCCCAAACCAAGACAAAACAACACAGGGTGGGGCAGCCAGCGCAGGCGGGCCACCCTGCCACAGCCCGAGCCGCAGTGACCAGACGCTGGCCCTGCGTGGGCGTGGCCACCCCTGGAAACTGGGCCACGCTGGGGAGAGGGGCCGCCTCGGCCTTGGGGACGCATGTGACCTGCTGCCCAGGGCACTCTGGGCTGGAGACACCGGCCTGGGAGGTGGGACGAGAAGAGAATGACGGGGCAGCCGCGAGCCCCCACACAGCTTCACCTGCTGGAGGCGGGCGGGGCGTCAGCATGGCAAGACCCCAGGAGCTCCAGCCGGGCGGCCCCACGGGCACCTGGGGCTGGAACGGGGCCTGGGCAGGGGGGCGGAGGAGCCAGGTCTGGGCCTGCTGGGCCGCTCGGCTCAGAGTGGGGAGCCCGTGGGGTGATGCGTGGACCCAGACAGCCCCGGCTCCCCTGCAGCCCACCCCTCGGTGCCCTTCCCTGCATGCACCTTTCCTCCTGTCCCAGACACCTCAGGGCCCACAGGGGCTCAGACTCTGTTCCCCTCAGCCACAACCTCTATCCAAGGGGGAGTTCTAGGTCTCCACCCTCCTGCCTGGTCTCCTGCCTCTGCCATCCTTCTCCACACAGCAGGGTCTTCTAAGAGCACACAGCACTCATGTTAGACACATTCACTCAATAAACGTGAGCATTTATCATCACCTCCATCATCACCATCCTCACCATCATATCCACCACCATCACCATCATTACCCCCATCATCATCACCACCATCACCATCACCACCATCACCACCATCACCACCATCACCACCATCACCATCATCACCACCATCACCATCATCACCATCACTACCACCATCATCACCACCATCACCACTATCTCCATGGTTACTATCATCAGGCTTTGGCATTCGGAGCTCACCCCCTGGAAGTGCCCAGCAGTCCCCTCCCCAGAGGCAGGGGCCCCTGGGCAGTGCCTCTTTCGCTGGGCACAGGCCTGGACAGAAGGGAGCTGTCTTAGGCGACTTCGTGCTACCAAAACAGAACACCAGGACCAGGCAATTTACATGGAACGGAAACTTCGGGGCTCACGCTTCTGGGTCACTTCTATAAGTCTAAGTAAGACTGAGGGCTGGCGTCTGGTGGGGGCCTTCTTGCTGCCCCGCCCCTGGTGGGAGGCAGAAAAGGGGAGAGAGAGCAGAGGGCCGAGCTCAGGCTGGTGCAGGGAGCCCAGTCCCCAGACGACAGCATGACCCTCCCTGAGCCCTCGCGGCCCAACCCCTCCCCCTGGGGAGGAAGTTTCCAGCGGGCGCTTTCTGGGGGGCACTCGACCCCAGCAGGAACCGCCTCCTGCCAGCCCGCGGAGACACGGCGAGGGGGCCGGGGGAACATGATTAGCGCCCTGGGGTTTTTCCACTTCCCGGAGTGACTCGGCAGCAGGAGCAGACGTCACTGGGCCAGGAAGTGCCCCTCACTCGGCCAAGCGTGAGACCTGCCGTCTGGCGCCCCGCCCCGCACAGCTGCCGGCCTCCAGCCGCCTGGCCGGGGCCGGGCACAGCTGACCCCTCGACCTCAGGGCCTCCCAGCGGCTCTGCAGTGGCCCCGAATCCGACCGGCCCTGCTGTCTTCCCGCCTCTCGGGGCCCCTTTGCCGGCCTCCAGGGCCCGTGCCCGGAGCACACGGTGGCCAGCCACCCACAGTGGCACTTGGGCCGTCACCTCGTGTCCCCCCAGGAGGGCCTGTGCTGACCCACTCCAGCCGGCAGGGCGGCTTCAGCTCCCCGCACGTCCCCGCAGGTGCAGGACATAGGTCGGCTTGTTGGCCTGTGTTTGCTTTCCAGCTGGCCCTCCGACCCATCTCCCCTGAGCGCACGGCAGGGCCCAGGACCTGGCCCACGGCGGGGCGCAGTGCACCTGTGAGCTCTCGAGTCACCGTGGTGTGTGACCCCGAGCCCGGCCGGGACAGAGCCCTCTTCTGTGTTATCTCCTCCGATTCTCCCAACAGGCCTGTGAGGTCAATGTTGTTAATTTCACTTTAAAGACGAAAATCCCCGAGGCTCAGAGAAGTCGAGACACTTGCCCAAGGCCACACAGTGGGTATCTGTCAAAGCCAACAACCTGACCCGGGCCTACTAATTCCAAGCCTGTGTTCTCAGCAGCTGCACACACCGGCCCACCTGCGCCAGACACGGAACAAGTGCCCACCGCAGGCCTTTTTTAAAAAGTCACCGTTGAAGCAAGTCGTCATTTAATGCGGTACATCTCACCTACTTGAGCGAACGGTTTGGCTGGTTCTGACAGACGCACACGGTCGTGGGACCGCCACAGTTGAGAGCAGCACACTGCCACGGCCCCGGAGTCCCCCGCCCCTCTGTGGTCAGCCCTTCTGCCCCAGGCCCGGTGCCGGTCCCGGCCGCTTGGCCCCTCCCAGAAGGCCGCACACGTGGGATTTGCAGCACGCCGCCCTCCGCCCTGGCTCTGTCCGTCAGCGGACCGTCACCGTGCCAGGGGCCGGTCCCTTCAGCGCCAAGTGGGACCCCGAGTGTGGCCGCCCCTGCTCCCCCTCCTCCCCAAGGAAGGGCCACGTGGGCCGTTCTGAGTCAGGCCTCTGGGGACACCTGGCCTCAGGTGTTTGCATGGAGGTGGGCCACGCCTTCTCGGAGCAGGTTTGCGGGATCCCGCGGCGGGTGTCTGCCCGGCCTCTCGAGAAGCTGCCGGACGCCCACAGTGACGGGCCCCGGCCACGTTCCCACCAGCCGCGGTGGAGGGTTCAGTCTGCAGGCTGCTGCTTTTCTTCTTTTTAAACTATAAAAAATTTTTTTAAAATAACATGAAACTATCTTAACCATTTTTAAGTGTACACTTCAGTGGCATTAAGTACGTCCAAGTTATTGTGCAACCATCACCACCACCCACCTCCGGAACTCTTCATCCTGCAAAACTGAAATTCTACACCCATTAAACAGCAGCTCCCCATTTCCCTCCCCGGCCCCCATGGCCACCATTTACTTTCTGTCTCTACGGCTCAGACCACGCCAGGACCTCACACGGGTCGAATCACACAGTAGCTTCTGTCCTTCTGTGACTGGCCTATCTCATGTGGCACAATGTCCCCAGGGTTCAGCCACATTGCAGCATGTGTCAGAATGTCCTTCCTTTGGAAGGCTGAATAATGTCCCGTCGTGCGCAGAGACCACATTTTATCCACCCATCCGTTGGTGACGCAGGGTGGTCCTGCCTTTTGGCTGTTGTGAATAACACTGCCATGAACACAGGTGCACAAATATCTCCTTGTGTCCCCACCTGCGGTTTCTTTGTGTTTATGCCCAGAAGCAGAATTGCTGAATAATACGGCAATTCCATCTTTAATTTTTTTTGAGGGGCAACCACCCTGTTTTCCACGGCAACTGCACAGTTTCCCGTTCCCGCCAGCAGCGAGTGCAGGTGTAGTTTTAGGAAATGCTCAGGAATGTCACCCCAAAAGCACAGGCAACAAAAATAAAAGCAGACACATGAGAGTGCATCGCGCTAGAAAGCTTCTGCACAGCGAAGGGAGCCACGGGCGGAGGGAAGAGACAGCCCGAGAACGGGAGAAAACGCCTGCAAACCACACACCCGAGGCACTGACATCCAGGGTGTGTAAAGAACTCAAACATCTCACTAGCAAGAAAACAACAACTCAACTAAAAAGTGGGCAAAGGACCTCCCTCGACACCTCTCAAACGAAGACACACCAGTGGCCAGAAGGTGTGTGACAAGTCCTCAGTGTCACCGCCGGTCCAGGAAGTGCAACCCGCACAGCGGGGAGGCCTCGCCTCACCTGCGGGGGACGGCTGTCGCCAAGGACACAGGGTGGCGCGTGCTGGGAAGAACGTAGGGAGACGAGAATGTAAACTAGCACAGTCATTATGGAAAACAGTGTGGAAGTTCCTCAAAAAATTTAAAGTGCAGCTATCATACGACCTGGCCACTCCCCTGCTGGGCATGCGCCCCAGGGAACCGGGATCCCTGCCTCACGGACACACGTGCACGCCCACGTCTGCCACACGCCGCCCACGGCAGCCAAGACACACATCCACCTACGTGTCCGGCAACAGGTGAGTGTGTAGAGAGTGCCCCGCACGTACGCGATGGAATGTCACCACCCATAGAAAGTAGCAGACCTGTCACCTGCAGCGACGTGTTGAACCTGGGTGACACTATGCCCAGTAAAATAAGCCACGCGCAGACAGGCAAACACCACGTGATCTCACTTAGGCGCGGAAGCTGAAATTGAAGCTGAACTCACAACGGCAGAGGGCAGGACGGCGGTGCGAGAGGCTGGAGGGAGGGGCCGGGGTGCAGCGACGCTGGCCAGGGGGACAGAGCATCCGCATGAGACGAGCAAGCGCTCGAGACCGGGCGTCCACCCGGCGGCGAGATCGCCGACGCTGCGTGGCGCGCTCAGAGATCGCTGCGGGTACGTGTCAAAGGTTCTCACCAAAAAAAAATGATGCGTGTGAGGTAGTGGACTAGCTCATCCACACCGTGTACATATGTCAAAACATCACACTGAACCCTGTAAATATATACAATGTTGGTCAATTTTTAAAAATTAATTAATTTTTGGAACCAGAGGGTCCCAGGAGGCAGGGGAGGGGCAGGGGCTGCGGTCTCCAGATTCGAGCTTGAGAAACGCTGAATGGAGCCCTGGAAACCTGGGCCCCCCACAGCCCTGACCCCCACAGCCCCGGCCCCCCACAGCCCCAGCCCCCCACAGCCCCACGTCCCTGTGAACACAGAGGATGCACAGTGAGGACAGGAAGCAAAGCACAGACCGACAGCTGCAGCTCTTCGGGGGCCCTGGGGCTTCTCTGGAGGGGCCCCAGGCTAAGGCAGGGCTCCCCGAGGGAGGGAGGGGTGCAGGGCTGGGCTCCCGGTGGGACACTCTGAGCAGCCGGGAGGGGGACCTGGCTGTGACAGCTGAGCCCAGCAGGGGCCTCGCCCTGCAGCCCCGAGCACTCCTGCTCCATCCTCTCTCCCTGGAGCCGCCCTGCCTGGGCAGCCCCTCCCCCTGAGGGCTGGACCCCCCTTCCAGAAGGTGCCAGGGTCTCCCATGGTCCTGCCCAGAGCCTCAGGGGTTGGGGGACCCCTTCTCTGGGGGTTCCAGGCTGGAGGTTCAGGCAGACAGGTGTGAGTGGAGACCTAGGCAGGGCTGGGAGCCATGGCTGGGCGTGTTGGTGGCTGGAGGTGTTTGTAGCTGTGGCCAAAGCCGCTGGGGAGACGCACACAGGGACAGAGTGGGCCTGGGGTAGGCAGGACGGGCAGGGCCGAGCCTGGGTGGTGGTCAGGTGGGGATACCGCTGGCTGGTGGGGGACGGGAGGGAGGGAAGCAGGGAGGGACTGGCAAGACAGACCCAGAGGAGCCTCCCACCAAGGGGTGGTCCCGGGAGACAAGGCAGATGTGCGGGGGTTGGGGGGCGGGAGGGCGGGGGGGGGGGTGACTGCAGTGACAACCACTGGGTGCCAGAGGTGCCGGGGAGCGGCCGGGGCATGGGGGAGCACACCCTGCCCCAGGATGGGCCCCTAAGAATCACCATTTCTCTCCAGTGGATTTTTAAAGACAAAGTAACCCAAGCTCAGGGGACCGAGTTAGGGGTGTCAGACAGTTAGCACCCACCCCTGGTCCTGCATCCCCCTCCCCGCCACTGGGGCTGCCAGTGGCTGGCATTCTCCTTTCCCTGCAAGGGACACCACACATGCCGGACACATGCCATCCAGCCTGTCCTGGGGGGCCCGGCGCCCTCCTGCAGCCTCGGTGCCCTATCTGGGCGGCTCCCATCGACAGGCGCAGATGGGAACAAACTGAGTTAATGGCGTTTGAGGGCGGGGGACCTGGGAGTGCTGGATGGAGCCACAGGGAACAGGGCTAGTGCCGGGGAGGGGTGGGGGTGCCTACGAGCGCAGGGGCAGCCACAGCCTCGGGGAGTGCCTGGGATTGCAGGTGACGTGGCACTTGGCGGCCTGGCTGCAGCCTCTGGAAGGACCACGGGGAAGCAGTTCTGGGGAATCGAGCCACTGGGGAGGCACGAAGGGTCTGGCAGGCCTGGCCTCTGCCCCAGGCAGGGGAGGAGCGGCCAGGGCACAGGACGGACAGAGCAGGCAGCATGCGGAGGAGGCCTGGCGTGGCCCACAGCCCCCGGCACTGTGGGCCCCCCTCCTGCGGGTGGAACAGACCATCTGCGGCCAGGAAATTGAGCGGCTCTTCACATCCCTCTGATCGCCACGTTCCAGCAGAACATCCAGGCCTCTCCGCAGAAAGACACAAATCCGCCCTGAGACGAGGAAAACAGAAGTTCCGAGTCTCCCGAGTGACAAGGGCCCAGCTTGCCTGCAGGTGCGACTGCGGCACCTCACCCAGGGCGAGCTCCTCGCCACCAGGTAGGGGCAGAGATTGGTCACCACCTCTGAGTTCACCTGGGTCCACCCGGCCCACCGGGCAGCATGCTCCAGGCCAGATCAGGTTGGCACAAGCCGGACATGGTCCTGGCGCCCACTGGACCCTGTGGACAGCAGATGCTGCTCAGGAAGGACTCTCGAGACCTGTGGGCACCCCTTTCCAAACCCCTGGGACCACTCACCGGACCCCGCCCCCCAGTCATCTTCCCAGAAGCCCGTCCGTCCCACTCTGGCCTCGGCCAAACAGGTGGGCACACGTCACGGAGCCCTGCACACAGCCAAGGGGCCCTGCACACAGCCAAGGGGCCCTGCACACAGCCAAGGGGCCCTGCACACAGCCAAGGGACCCTGCATACATCAAGGAGCTCTGCACACAGCTATAGGGCTTTGAAAGGGCACAGTGGGTCACCTTCCCTCTCCTTACTCCCCAATGTGAGTGAGGCTCCTGGGGGTGCCCTGTCCATGACCTCAGTCAAATTCCCAAAGTCCCAGCTCCTTGAAGCTCACCCCGGGAAACGGGAGCTAGGGGGAAGATGCCAAGGGCAGGGCTTGGAGGCAGGGAAAGGGACCTCCCCTCCCATTCGCTGAGCTCCCAACAGAACAAAACACGAAGGATGCCCAAAGCAGAACAAAACACGAAGGATGCAAGCAACTGCGGCAACCCACACATGCATCTAATGATTTTCAGGTAAAATGCCCCTGGTCCAAGACGATCTAGTCACAGGTGGGTGGGCCGGACGGGAGCCAGCCCAGAGGCTTGCCAGGCCGTGCCGCAGCACGCACAGTCATATCGGAAGGTAAGGTCGTCGCTTACCTGACATGAGGTCCTTCTGGAATGTGAGGTCCCAGCCAAGTGAACCCTCTGACTAGCGGGGCAGGCACAGAAGCTGGGCAGGCCAGGGCAGTTCCGGACGGGCGCCCTCCCTGGCAAAGACTTCTGCTGCTTTGTGAAAGAGTAGACAGAAAGACCACACAAGTGGATCGCCAGTGACATCCAAATTGCCCTTCTGGGGATAGGCCGGTAGCCTTGGCCTGGCTGGGGACAAGGCTGGGGCTCTGCGGGCCACCGGAACAGGAAACACAGGAGCTTTGCAGGCGCTAGGAGCTGGATCTCTTTCCGCAGCCCTGCACCTCTGTGCACGCAGCCCTGCACCTCTGTGCACGCAGCCCTGCAACTCCATGCAGGGAGCCCCAGCCTGCAGCCCCTTCTCCCACCTGGCTGGGTCTGCGTCTCCCGGAACTGGGGGCTCCCCAGTCATCCTCAAATCCTGTCTCAGAGCTCAGAGCTGCCTGGCCAGGCAGGGAAGTCCAGACGTTTTCTACGCAAAACCGAACCTGTAACACCAGGCACTGAGCACCGGCGAGTTAGTTGGTGGCTTCTAAAGAGAACTCGATACTGCGGCTGCCGGGCCCAGGCCAAAGCCTGAGCCGTCCCGGCCCCCGCACTTGTGAATGATGCTCTCTGCTCTCTCGGGCCAAAGCGTCCATCACCGCCGAGAAGGACAGCTCGGGTTGGCGTGTTAGATGTCGTGCTGTTCACATGTGAATTATCTGCACATCTGTGACCCCAGGGCCAGGCCCCCGCCCCCTGCCCCAGCCCTCTGGAAGGATGCCCGAGACCGGAACCAGGTGCGGTGGAACCGGATTCCCTGGTAGCTGCTCTTGGTGGTGGCAGATTCTCAGAAAAGACAAAGGTCGGATTGAAAGTCCCTTTCCCCAGGGTTGTCTTGCTCTGGGACACAAAGAGGGAGGACAGTGGGGGACTGTTGCCCCAGGCGGCCACTCGTGGTTTGCCAGGCTGCTGTCACCCAAGCCAGGCAACGGCATTTGTGCAGAACTGGCCGGGGGCCTGGCCGAGGGCCGAGGTCTCAGCTCACAGCAGAACATAAGCAGAGCAGCGCGGACGGAAAACGGAGATCCCTGGCGGTGACGAGGATGACAGCTCCAGCAGAGGACTTGCCGTGTGCCCAGCAGGGCTGTGACCGTCGCAGGAAACCGAGGCCCAGGGAAGCCTTAGACGGGGCCGGCGGGGTAACCTGCCAGCCTCGCCCACTCCAAAGGCCTCTCCCCACCAGCGCGATCGCAGCTGTGAGGACAGAAGGTGCTTTTCCCCCCAGGAGTCTTGCTACCAGGGACCTCCCGGCGCCCACGGCCTCCCCTCCCAGAAGTGCGGGCGGCTTGGGCTCCTCTGTCCCCAAGACAGCTCCGGCCTGTGCTTCTCTCCCTTGGGAAGCTGCGAGTCTGCCCAGCTCACGCCTGGACGCTCCGTGACGGCCCCTCACCGAACACGGCCCTGCGCAGACAGGCGGCTCTGCCCCGAGAACGTGCGCAGCACTGCGCTGTGCCTGGGGCCCGTCTCCCCTTCAAGCTTCAGCGGCGCCTCTTTCTCATGCAAAACAGTGAAATCCTGACTTTCAATGCACTTTTAGGAACTTTTCTCTAGAGCCCTCGATGCACGGGTCACAGGCTGAGACTGAAACAATGACGTGCAGTGGAAACGGCCATCCGTGTAGGTTGCAAAGGGGAGGAGAGAGGCCGTCTCAGACCATCCAACTTAGACACATGCAACATTCGCAGAAAATAGAAAGGAAATACGGCCAAAATATAGAAACTGCCATAAACACCACAGTAACAGGATTCTAAGGGCTCTCCAAAGTACAAGCCACCAGCCAGGGCCTGTTCCGACGTCACGCCCAGCAAAACACCAGGAACGCCGTTCCCTCTGGGCTGCACGGCCGCCCGGCCACCGGGGTCAAAGGTGGTTTCTGGGCTGCCCACGGACCTGCCCCACAGCCTGGGAACGTCTCTCTCCGCACCTCCTTTCCGACACCGAGATCCGTTTCCCTCACAGCGTCCGTGTGGGCAGAGCCAGCCAGGGTCGGCGCAGGGCCGGACGTGTGAGCACAAGCGTTCAGGCCCCAGGTCCTCGGGGCGCTGAGGAAGTTGATGTCAGAGGATGTAAATTGGCCATAAAATGTAAAGGCCTGTTCCGAGTCTCATAAGGATGCCCCGGCAGGCGGCAGTGCGGCCCCCACGAGACCACAGGGAGCCAGTGGGACTCGGGTTCTCTCTTTCTCTTTTAATTATTTCCTCTCCAGAAAATAAAAAATAAAGATCCCTGCCAGGATAGAGTTTACTGAGTTCAGAATGTTCCGGTGCACATAATCAGGCAGCCCTTGTTCCAAAGCTGCTGTGCTCTGTGGCTGACCTCCCGTGGGCCTCCTCCCTGCCCTCCCGACTGCTCGCCGGGAGGAGGAGAGAGGACAGTCGGCCACAGCCGGACCCCGCCACGCAGCCACCCTGCCCTGCCGCTTAGAGACCCCACCGGCAGGTCGCACACGGGTGGCCTGGCCAAGGCTCCCGGGACCTCTGGAAACGCCGCGCACCAGAGTGAGTCTTTGAGGCCGGGCCGAGGGCCTGCGTTCTGCAGCGACACACCTGAGACGCTCGCTCGGGTTCCCGCCCAGCTGGTGCCTGGGAACACCTGGCCCAGAGCCCGCAGCAGGCAGCCGTCTTTTGGCTGGAATTTAATACCACGTCACTTCCTTTTTATCACCAGCTTTTATGGCGACCTCCCTATGGTCGTCGACACTGACTTACCTCTGCAAAAACAAACTTACCCTTTTAATAAAATATGTGAATTGTTTAAAGAAAAAACACTGTGTAATAACAGTTTCAGGGGGGTGTGATCCAGAGTTAAGTTGTGGGAACACTGAGTCCAGTCCCGCCTCGGACGTGTGAAGTGCTCGCCCAGCATCTCGGCAGAAGACGGGCCGCTCTGCTCACACACCTCCTGGCACGGGGAGCTCACCCCCTGGAAAAGGCACTTCGTCAGCTCTGCCAGCAAACGCTGCCCCCAGCGGGTTCCACAGCCAAGGCCAGGGCTGCACAGGAGCGGGGGGCCCTTTTTCTAGGGGGTAGCACCTTCAGAGCATGCTCCTGTCCCCTCCGGCAGTGCCTGGGCCAACTCAGCACAGCCTCGTCCTCTCAGAGGGAACCGCTCCAGCCGGCACCCACGGTTGGTGGTTTTTCTCTTAAAAGGCAGAGTCAGGAAGGGGGCAGTGGCCTCTCCTCAGCTTCCAGGCATGGGGGGCGGTGGGGACCGCCTGGAGCCCTGAGGACACCCCCAGGGACCCTGGTGGCAAACCCCACCCTCGAAGGAAGGAAGGACATTTCATAAATAACGGCTGGGGGGGGGTGCGGGCCTTTTCCCATAAGCCCCAGCACCTCTTCTCTACTGTGCCCCCCGCGCCCCCCCCAGGACAAGGCCAGGCCCCGTCTGCCCCTGTGTACCCCTTGCCCACCCACAGTCACAGGCTGGTCACGTCCCCTCACCCAGCTCACCTCGGCATTTTCACACACACCCGCACACGCACACACACCTGACTTTCATAAACTTCTTTTAAAATAAATTAGTTTTTCCTGAAACTAAAAAGGAAAGATTTGCAGAGTGTTACTGTGGTCACCGGTTAATACTTAGCAACTCCTGAGTCCCCACATGAGCCGCCCTCTTTTAATGTTTCCTAGGCCCTTCTGGGAAATGTCGGTGCAGAGGGGGAAACCGAGGCACGGAGAGTCAGGCAATGTGTTCGGGTAGTGGAGCAGGAAATACTGGTAGGAATCTAGGGGGCCACGCCAGAGGGACCCTCCCCCCAAATTCAAAAAACGGGATTGTCTCCTTAAAGGAGCCCCCAGGCTGGAAATCCCCCGCGCCCCAGAGGGGGAGACCAGCACCAGGGGGCGCGCAGGTGGGGCCTCCTGAGTGGCCCCGGAGCCCGATTCCGCTGTGATCCTCGTAGGGCCATGAGCTCGCGTCCCCCTGGAGGCTGGGCCGGGAAAGTGCGGCCTCGCTCCTGGCCACCCCAGGGCTCTGTCCCGCAACGCGGGGGCGGATCCCGCTTCAGCTCGGAGGTGCCCGGTTCTCGGCCCCCGACGCGCCCGTGCCGGGGCTGGAGAGGGGAGCGCGGGACAGTGGACAGAGCAGCCCCCGGCTCCGGCGCTCGAGGAGGGCAGCGCGTGGCGCTCGTCCCGGCCCCTCTGCCCGCGGGCGTAGGCGCCGCCCCCGCCGCGCTCGCGCAGCTGTCACCCCGGGGCGGGCCGGGAGCAGGGGCGGGGCGCGGGCCAGGCCCGGACGGCGCTGCCATTGGCTGCAGTGGGTGAGGCCAGGCGGCCGCGGCGACAGGAGCCCCGCCCGCCCCTCTGCGGCTGGGGCGGGCCGAGCGGATGAATGAAACCGGGGTGGGCTGCGCGCCGCGGCCAGAGCGTGGAGCGCAGCGCGGGCTCTGGCCGGAACGGTGAGTGCGCTGGGAGCCGGGCGCAGGGCGCAGGGAGCTGGGCGCGGCGCCGCCGCGGGTGCGGCCCAGGTGCGCAGCCCTGACCTGCTGACGTCAGGGGCGCGGCAGGTGCCCACTGGGGGGGGGCAGCGGCGACAGCCAGGTGGCTCCAGGGCTGGCACGGCGGGGGATGCAGGTGGGGCCGACGCCCCGGCACCAGCCGTGTCCGCGTCCGGAGCCCCTCCGCGGAGGGCGGGCGGGACCGAGATGAATCGGACGCAAAATTTGCCCCTCGCCGCCGCCTGCCAGGCAGGAAGCCCTGAGCCGTGAGAAGGCGGGCGGGCTAAGGGGACGTGTGGGAGTGACAGGGATGGGTCGTGGCGGGGCGAGGGCGGGTGGACGGAGTGGCCGGGCCCGGTAGCCTAGGCAGGTGGCCAGGAGGCTCCAGCCGAGCAAGGGACAGGCGCGCGTCCCCCGCGACGCAGCGCGGCGGGGGTCCCCCACCTGCGGCGGATGCTGCTGCTGAGTCAAGGAGGAAATCGTCATACACACAAGTTTCGCGCGGGCGGCTTTGTTCGCGCCAGAGCGGCTGCAGAGACCTCGGGAGGGGCGGGCGGGGCGGCCCCGCGGACTCCGTCTCTGCGGAAACCGCGGCCCCTTCTCTGCCCGGCCTGGGCGCCCCGGGGGGGTGCAGGCAGAGGCCAGCGGCCCGCGTGACTCCGACGGGGGTGGGGTCGCCTCTGTCGGGGAAGGGTGGCAGGAGGGTGCCACGTGGCCCCTGGGGGTGCTCTCGGCCCAGACCGGGAACCCAGGCAGATGCCGCACTTCACCTCTGCGGAGAAGCCGGCCGGGCACTTCCCGGTCAGGGCGGCCATTCGGGGCCCCGCCTGCCTGCCCGCCCCAGGAGAGAAGCCCCGGTCCCCACGTGGGGCCGTGGTGGCCCTGCCAGACCTGCGGGAGGTCCCCAGCTGCAGTTGGACTGGGAGGTGCTGTTTCTGCAGAGACGTTGGAGCCACAGTGTCCCCAGCGATGGAGCCAGCTTGTCAGTCGGTGCTCCGCAGCTGGACTTCAGAGCTCAGCTTGACGCTGTCCGGCTGGAAACAGGTCTGGGGAGCCCTGTGCTCTGCGGTTTCCATTCTGTGCTTCCGGGGCCAGCGGCCTTCAGAAGAGGGCACACCCTGGCTTTAGCGGCTCCTCTTATGGCCCAGTAGTAGTAACAGCAGTGACAACAGTAGCTGCTGAGCACACAGACCAGCCAGACCCCGCGCTAAGTGCTGTGAGCATCACGCCAATCCCCATAGCAACCCCCTGGAGAGCTGTTGCTGCTCCCGTTTTATTGAGAAGTCCGCAGGGGCCTCAAGCAATTAAGGATTTGCCTGAGGCCACACAGCTGGTGGGGGGGAGGTTCGAACCCTCCTGCTTCCAGACACTGCACTTGGCCATTTCATAGTTCTGTCCTTTTGGGGGGGGGGGCAGCCAGAAGTGCCAGGCCCAAGACTCAGAGCAGTGACCTGAAAGGTGAGCCCAGAGCTAAGGACACCGAGTGTTTGGCCCAAATAGTGCTTGTGGGACACAGGTTGGCGAGCCCCCAGCCCCACGCCCCTCCTGCCACTGGAGGGAGGTAGAGAGGACGGGGCCTCCAGGTTGGCCCTGATGCTGGCTGCAGCCGGATTGCCAACCTGCCCTGTGTGGGCACCTGTCCTGCCTTCCTGCTGGGCAAGACCAGCAGGTACTGCCTGGAAAATTCTTCACGGGGTTGTGTCCCTCCTGTGTGGCTATGACCTAATCCGTGGCCCCTGGGTGTGGCCCCTGAAGCAGGTGCTGGGGAAGCCCCGACTGGTGGAGACAATGCTGGGCGTGAGGTCAGGGCGGGGCCGGCCCGAGTGCCGTGAACGGGGGGCCAGGTGGGCAGAAGTACCATCCCTGCTAGAGCAGCTGACTCCCCATGACCAACCCAACGCCGAGCTGGCCCCCACCATGCCCCCGGTGGACCCTAACCCTAACCCGGGCTCAACAACCCCAGCTGCAGCGTGAGCCCCAGGTCCGCTCTGAGCTCCACTGGCAACGGCTTTCCCAGCCCGTGTGCAGCCAAAGTTAGCTGGACAAGCTCAGCGTAGCCCCTCAGGTGTCCCTGATGCGGGAGTCTCTGCGAGGGTTAATCCACCGCCCTGCTGGGTGCTGCTGAGCCGACACAAATCCGTGGCTTTGGGACTCGTAAGCCAGGGCGAGTGGAGTCCCCAAACTCTCCCCAGCCGTTGAGCGGTGGTGGGCAGTGTGAGCCTGGGGCCCGTGGCCGGGGCCGAGAGGCAACTGGGGCGCCCGGCTGGGCAGGGCGGGAGGGCAACGCCAGGCACACCTTCCTGCTTCCCCGCGGCTACAGCAAGCTGGGCGTGGACACAGGCCACGGAAATGTTCCCTCCTGGGCCACGTGACCTCCTCATTCTCACCAGTGGCAAAGAACCCATTGTTGGCTTTTGGAAGGGACACACGATAGTCCTCGAAACCTCCCCCCGCCCGCTTTTGTTCTGGGCGTCGGCTGCTTGGCTGGCCTCTGAGTAGGCTCGGTGTGAGCCGCCCGGACCCCGCTGTCAACCCCTGCGTGGAGTCAAACAGGCCCGTGGGCATCGGGGTCTGGGGTGAGGAGGGAGGCACAGCGGCCCAGGTGTCTGTGGGACTGGTGGAGCCCGTGGCCCTGCTGCCAGAACACTGGACCCTGGGCTGTGTCCTCCCTGGGTCCCTGCAGGGTCTGGGCTCTTCCCCCCTCTGGCCTCAGCCGGCCTGCTGTCCTTGGACTCGGGCTCGCCCCGTCCCCTGGTCTCCCCTGGTCACCACGGCACGGCCCGCCTCCCTCTAGCATCTCACAGAGTGAGACTCTTGGACTACGTGTCTGGGGGAGGGTGGATGCTTTTTCAAACCACGAGCCTTTTGCAAAAGCCGCTCACGGGGTAGCCCAGAACTGGGCTGAGCATAGGGTGAGGCTTCATGTGCCAGTGCCCAGGAGCTTGGACACCGGGGCTGGGGGCTTCCAGCATGTTCTTTCCACCCCATGCAGGCCTGGCTCCCCCTGAGCACCCCTCCTGCCCATGGCCCTTCCCTTTGTGGCTTTTTTATCTGGCAAGCTTTGGGGTGGGGGGTCCCTGAGGCCTCATTCCTCCGCCCCAGCCACAGAGCGAGCTTGGGACCCTTGGGGCTTAGTGTAGCACTGCACCCTGCCCTTGCGTTTTGTCAGGGGTCTTGGGAGACACTGCTGCCCTGATCTTAAGACCCATGGCCCTAGGAGCCCCCTGAGAGCAGACTGGGCCAGCTGTGCTGGCAGGTCCCTCCTCTGGACAGAGCCTGCACTCCCAAACTTCCATCCCTTCTGCGTTATGTCCCTCCCACAGATTGGGGGACCAGGTTTGTGACCCTTTGCTGGCAGCTCCTCTGAGCCACCTGCTCTTCCTTTCCACCCCCTGCCCCCATGCCCTGCAGTGCTCAGGGCTCTCCTGGAGGAGGGACGTCATGGGACCAGTCTCCTCTGCCCCCTACTCTAGGGCCCAGCCCCCGCTCACCTGCTGGCCCCAGGACAGGGTCCCCAGGCTGGGGAGCAGGATCCCGGAGTCTGTTCCCCTTCCCCAGAGACAAGGAGAGCGCTGAAAACCATGGGGACCCTCACGGGGATCCCCAGGTTGTGACCGTCACTTAGTGCAACACCAAAGTGAGAGGGGAGTTGGGGGCGGGAGAGACAGGGGGGGTGGGCTCAAGACCTGCAGGGGGGGCCCCTGGACCCCGAGTCTGGGGTCCGTGTTCCTGGGCCCGCTGTGAGTGGAGGACTCAGGGGCTCATTCCTCCTGCTCCTGACCTCATGCTGTGGGGAAACTGAGGCTGAGAGAGGACCCCCCCCACATACACCCCATGATCCGCCTGGCTTGGAGACAGCCTCTCTCTGATTCTCGAATCTGCTCTTGCATGGTGGGGGGGAGGGTTTCAACTCCATGGCTTGAACGTGGAGTCGGGAAGAAGAGAAACCCTGTGCCCGGCGCCCGGCACACCCTGCCCTCCCCACACTCCCAGGGCGGCGGCGGCGGGGGGAGGCGAGGACACGAGGAGTCGGGTTGGACGGCAGGGCACTCAGGAGGGACGGGTCCTGCCAGGGCAGGCCCTGGAGCCTCATGCCCCGGCTCCTTCTCCCAGACAACCCTGCATTGTTGGCCTCCATGCAAAGCAGCCGGCTTCCTGTCCCCCACCTGTGCGAGGTCACCAGGTATGCAAATCGGCGTGTACCAGGCACTGCTGGCCACCCCAGGTCCTGCCGCCAGCGTCCGTGCTCACCTCGTGGAAGTGAAAGCTCCTTCACTCACCCCACTTGAAGAAGGGATGCCAGGAGGGATTTCGGAGGCAAGAGAGAGTCCCAGGTGTCACAGGGTGGGGGGCTGCTGGTGTCCGGAGGGGCTGGCCACATGGGTTGAGGCCGTGGCCTCAGAGCAGGCGGGTGCCATGTGGGGGGGGGCCTGGTGCCACCTCCCACACTTAGCTGGCGAAAAGGAGAAAGGACCTGCGGTTCTGCCTGGCCCCTAAGCCTAAGTTCCCGGTGGGGCTTAGGGACCGAGCCTGGGGTGTTCCCTAACATGGAAGTGGTGCTACCTGCCCACCCCAGCTCCAGGCCCCCTGGGGACGTTCAGCCAGACTGTCCTGCAGGGAGTCGGGCAGGCCAGGGCCACTCGAGGCCTAAAATACTACTCAGAAGCCCTGTGGCCTTTCTACTGCTCTCGGGGAGTTGGCCTGTGCAGACAGCCCCGCTGGGAGAGGAGGGGCCGGCGAGCCAGGGAAACACGGAAGCAGATGCAGACACGTGGGGAGACAGGCCGGGACCGGCCTCCAGAGACGGGCTGTGCGGAGCCTCCTGCTTGGGCTTCCCCCAGGGCAGGTGTCTGGGGCTCGGGAGGAGGAGGAGCTGGGGGCGGCTGGCCGCGTCTCTCAAAACCCCCGGCCACACGTTCTGGGCACAGGCGTGGAGCAGTCGGCACGTCCTACCCGAGACACAGCTGAGGGACCCGCCAGTGTGGGGAAGCCGGAAGAGATCTCTGGCCACCTGTGGTGTCCTCCTGAAATAGTGAGCACAGGCACACGCACACATGCAGGCACACACACAGGCACACATGCAGGCACACGCATACACAGGCACATGCACACGCAGGCACACACACAGAGGCACACAGAGACACACACAGGCACACGCACACACAGGCACGCGCAGGCACACACAGGCAGTACACGCAAGCACACACATAGGCACAGGCACACATGCAGGCACTGGCATACACGGGCACACACAGGCACATGCACACATAGGCACACATGCAGGCACACACATACACGGGCACACACAGGCACACGCACATATAGGCACACATGCAGGCACACACATACACGGGCACACACAGGCACACATGCACACACCCTGTCCACTGACGCCCAGGTCTCGACCTGGGCCAGAGGCTCTGGGTACTCGTCATCCTCCCGCTAATCATCTTGACCTAATCCTGGACTCTGGCTGCCCCCGGGCCCCTCCCACCTCCCGCCTCCCGCCAGGTTGTGGGTCAGACCGGGGCAGGCCTGGCAGGCAGGCTCGGGCTCCCTGGGAAAGGCTGCCCTCCCCTTGCTTGGGAGTGGAGCGTGGTTTGCACTCTCCCAAGCCCCGGGAGCTTCCACACTCCACCCCAGCCTCCCCTGGCCCCAGATATTCTCCCATGGGATGAATACGCAGGAGCAGTGGGCGGCGGGCAGGGGCCCAGAGGTGAGCAGGTGCTGGGTGGGCCACAGGCAGAGCTGCCAGCCCAGCTCCAGGCCCTGCTTCACGGGGTCCCTCCCGACTGCCGGCTCGAACCCCCAGACGAGGGTCCCTCGGCCCCTTTCAGGGAGGTCATTAGGAGGGGCAGGTCCTTTGAACTTGGGCCGGATGTGAAGGCTGCCTGCAGCCCCTTCCTGATGCCCTGTGGGGGGACGAGTTTGCGGGTCAGAAGAGGCCACTCCTCTTGCTGGGGGAGGCTGTGGGGTGGATCTGGGGCAGGCGCCGCCCCTCCCTGCCCCAGGTTCCCAGCGTGGGAAGCCAGCGCACCTTTCTCACAGTCAGTTCTACATGAGGCACTTTAGGCATGCACATGTGTGTGCACGCACACGCATGTGCACAGACATGCACACGGCCCCAGAAAGGGAAGCTGGGAAGGGCCAGCTGCCTTTGTCCCTGGGCCCTGCTGCAATGTCCTATCTTCCGTTGGGGACCTGTCCAGGACCAGGGGACCCTCTAAGCTCTGCTTCCAGCCCCCAGCCCTGCCTCCTGCCCACGAGGGCCCTGAGTCTCAGAGCCGCAGAACTGCCGGCCTTAGCAGGGACAGCCGTCATGAGCCTGGTGTCACTAGCAGCGAGGACAGATGTGGAGTTCACCTGGGTTTGACTCCTTGGAATCCAGTGGATTCCAGAGAGAAGCCCCACATGAGAGGCCCAGGTCACGCCCTCCAGGAAGCTGACGGCTGTGACCCTGACGGGGGCTGGCCATGTCCCCGGAGCCTGCGTCTGGCTGCGGCACTGCAGGCTGGCTTCTGTGGCAAACGTTAGCCGTGGAGCTCAAGTGCTGCCCTACATGTTCAGCCAAGGGCGGCCGTAGGTCCCGGCCAAGCGTTGACATAGATGTGGGCGTCCACCTTGCAGGGCAGAGCCTCTCCCTGCTGCCCCCTGGCACCCCGAGTAAGGGTGGGTGCTCAGGACGCAGGGGGGTGGGAGCCACCACCAGTGACCCAGCCACCTCTCGTGGAGGCAGGGACGAGGCCGGATGCCCCTCGCAGGAACTGCCGCACGTATGAGCTCAGCCACGCCCGCGCTCCAGCCCAAGCCTCCACTTTCCAACACAGACGCCGCCAGGAAGGAGGAACAGCCGTCTGGAGAGGCAGACCCAGCCCGGGAGGGAACCGGGAGCGGGCGCTGTGGCAGGCGCCCTGCAGAACGCGCTCGCTGGGCGCTGACTCGGTGGCGGGAAGGGCAGGTCTGCACGGCACACAGTGGGCTGCTGTCGGGCCTCACCCATCTTCAGAGCCGGTGGCGCCGTGCGGCTCTTGTTAATACCTCCCTTTGCCATAGCGGGCAGCAGGTCACCCGGCCAGTACTGACCGGGATTTTAAATGACTCGGGCTGAGTCTGTGTTTACATCACAGCTTTTCATCCAGGCGAAGCCGCCACCAGTTGGAGCTGCTTGGGCACTACGACTCGTTCCCTTTTAGCCGTGGCTTCTATTTCCGGTAGGCAGTCGTCCTGTTTCGTCGTGGCCTTTGCTAATCAGGAAGGCTTAGCGATCCGGCTTCCCTAAATCCATGAGGACTGGTCCCCTCGCCGGCTCCCCCCGAGATGGCCCGTCCCGGAGCAGGTGCTTGAAGCAGCCGGCGTCTGGGCCTGGGCTGGAGTCGTGGGCTCCGCTGCGCTCTGCGCATGAGCGCTGGTGGGCACCGCCCGCCCGCACCGCCGGGCAGGCCCTCTCTGAGCACAGCCGGCCCCGCTCCGGCCAAGCCCGGCCGTTCCTGCATGGCTGGCCCCCTCCCTCGGAACTCAGTCCCGGCCCAGGACGAGGTCAAGTCCCCTGCTACTCGTGTGTGTGCATGTGCACGTGTGTGCACCCCAACCTCCAGCACAATCCTCAGGGCACTCCTTGGCTCCGAGTGCGTGTGTACACGTATGTTTGTGTGCACGCATCAAGAAGAAGACCAGAGGGAAATGCACACAAACGCTGTCGGTGGTCTCTGGGCTTTGGCGTTTTGCGGTGACTTTGGGTTGGGCCTTTCATCTTCTCCGCGCTCTGTGCAGCCGCCCCTGCTGCAGGAGCCCGTCCACGTCTGGGCCGGTGGGTGGCAGGGCCGCTGCCTCCTGTCGCCCTGCCCGGGGCTCGCACCCGTCCCTCCCTCCTACGCGGTTCCTGCCATGCCAGCCTGGCTGCCCCGTGGTCTTCGGGACACCAGCTGCACTGCCAGCTTGCTCCGTGCATGTGGACTGGGTCACACCTTGTCCCCGGGGAAGCGCTGAGCGCACTCGCTCCTTCCTTGGGGCTCGTCCTGCGCGGCACCTCCCACACAGAGCCTGCACCCGCTGGCGGTGTCTGCCGTAGGTAGAACTGCGGGTGCGTGTGGCACCTGGGGAGCGGCCCTCGGGAGTGGCTGCTTGGAGTTTTTGCTCCCTGGCCTCAAAATCTGTCTGCTGATAGCCGGGAGGTCACAGTTTCCAAAGTAAACAGAGGCACGTGTGTGAGCGCCACGTGACGGGGCGCGGCCCTGTCCACAGCGCCAGGAGGCAGCTGTGGTGCAGGCACGGCTCTGCAGCCGCCGTGGCCAAGTCCTCACTGCCGCTGCAGGCCACGTGGGCTGGGGCCAGTCACTGCCCCCCGCCCCCCGGCCCCTTGCCTCACCTTTATGGCCTGGGACAAGGCCTGGCACACAGTCGACGCTCATGTACACAGTTGGAGCTCATGTACACAGTCAGAGCTCATGTACACAGCCGGTGTGAGCATCCCACTCAGCACTGTGGTGGGGCTCTCCGGGGCCCAGCACATTCGCCCCCTGGGCCCTGAGGAGGCCGGAGGGGCGAGAGAGGTGGGGCCTGACAATGCCACAGGGGAGCCACGTGGCGGCCACTCGCCCACTGCCCGGTGCTCAGGGACGGGGGCTGAGGGGCCGGGCGCCGGTGCAGGATGTGGCGAGAGGACCCAGAGCCACCAGCTCTGGGGCTCAGTGCACGGGGTGGGGTCACTGTGCGGCCCCGGGGAGGGCGGTGGCAGGGAGGGGCCCCGCCAGGTCTCTGCAGTGGAAAACGCACGTCGCCACGCCCGCATGTGCGCCCGCTGCAGTGCCCGCACGGCCACCCTGAGCCCTGTGCACCTGCCACCGCAAGAGAAAGTTGTTCCTTGTGTAAAAACACGCTAAGCGAAGCCCGCAGTTCGCATCCCCACGTGTGAGGCGTAGGCCACTCCCAGCCCCGCCATGCAGCCACGGGCGTGGCTCTGGGTGCCCAGCAGGACTCTGCCTCCGCCCAAGGCCAGGGTTCAGCGGGGGGACGGAGCGTCCACATCGTCCTGTCACCCAGGGACCCCCCGCAGCCCGTTCAGCCCCACCTGACTGGACGCCCGGCAGGCAGAGCCGTCGGCCACACGGGGTGCGGGGTGTGCCGGGACGTCCACCCCAGACCCACGTGCTCGCGGGTGGACGCCAGCTTGCTAACCGGCGGTTCCCCCGCAGGGCACTCCAGGCCCCTGGGATCCCGCCACGTGACAACCCCAAGCTGCTGCAGCCGCCCGGCCCCCCCGCCCCCCGCCGGGCACGGAGATGCCCCAGCACGCCACGGGGGACAAGCCCTTCGCCTCCATGCTGCCGCTCACCTTCCCCGGCCCGGCGTCCGCGTTGGAAAACGGGGTTGAGCACGCGCCCCCCGGGAGGCGGGCGTCCCCAGGCTCGCCCCTGAGCCCCGGGTCCCTGCGCTCCGCCGCGCACAGCCCCCCGGACGCCTGCAGCCAGCCCCTGTGCGACCTCGGGAAGCGGGGCGCCCACGAGATGCGCTACGTCTCGGCCGGGCCGCAGAGCACGGCGTGCGGCTGGCGGGCCTTCGCGCCCGCGTGCCTGCAGGCCTTCAACACGCCCAAGGGCTTCCTGCTCTTCCTGTGCGCGGCCTCGTTCCTACAGGGCATGACGGTGAACGGCTTCATCAACACGGTGGTCACCTCCATCGAGCGCCGCTTCCACCTGCACAGCTGCCAGAGCGGGCTGGTGGCCAGCGCCTACGACATCGCGGCCTGCCTCTGCCTCGCCTTCGTCAGCTACTTCGGGGGCAGCGGGCACCGGCCGCGCTGGCTGGGCCGCGGCGTGCTGGTCATGGGCGCCGGCTCGCTGGTGTTCGCGCTGCCGCACTTCGCCGCCGGCCCCTACGAGGTGCAGGTGGACGCCTGGGCGGCGGCCTGCCCGGCCAACCGGAGCACGGCGTGCGGGGACCGCACCTCAGGCCTGTCCAGCTACCGGCTGGTCTTCATGCTGGGCCAGTTCCTGCACGGCGTGGGCGCCACGCCTCTCTACACGCTGGGCGTCACCTACCTGGACGAGAACGTCAAGTCCAGCTACTCACCCGTCTACATCGGTGAGTGCGCCGGCGGGGGGCGGCGTGGGCAGGAGGGAGGGACGATGGCCAGGGAGCTGCCGGCCCTGTGCACACCCCCCTCGTGGTCCGGACACTCCCACGTGAGCCACAGTTCCAACTGAGCACCCGCGGGGGTGGGGCTGGTGTCGCTTTTCCTGCCAGGCGCCTCAGCTCGAGCCCTGCGCTGGGGGTCCAGCCCGCCCTGCACACGGGCCACGGGACACGCCAGGGGGTGCAGGGTGGTGCCTGGGTCCATGGCTCTGGGGCCGCACGCTTCTGCCCAGAGCCTCAAGCACACCTGGGAGGAGTTTCATGTGCGGATAAGTGGCCGGGACAGGGCCCGACCACGCCACGGCTCCCCTGGAGCCACGACTGCCTCCTGTCTGGCCGCGCAGGGCGGGCACAGGCGGGGGGGATGGGAGAGTCAAGACGCTCAGGAAGAACCATGAGGCGGCTCCTGCCTCCACTCGGTGTCCTGGCCACACGCACAGCCCAGGTCCCTCGCCTGCCTGCTGCTGGGCGGGGAGCCCCTATCCCCCTTCACAGGCCTGAGTTGGCCGGGGGCTGCTCCCACCCACCCCCACCCCCGAGTGTCCCTCCAGCCTGGCCCTGCGGGGAACAGTCACAGCACGGCTCCGGCCGGCACTACAGGCCCTGCCGACACCGCGGTCACAGCCTCGGCTTCCTCGTGTGCCCCGTAGCTCTGTCCCTGCCAGCCACTGGCGGTGGCCATCCCAAGGCCCGAGGGCGCATTGAGGGTCGTGTCACTGGGGGACAGGGGACGTCCCGCCACGCTGGCCCTTCCAAACTCGCCTCCCGGCGTGAGACAGACCAGGCCGCAGGCTGCGGGCTCCAGGCCGTTTCTCCCGGGGTGTGTGCGCAGTGCGGCGTGGACGTGGCCTCGCCCTGCAGAGCGGGGTGGGGGTCTTGGCTCTGTCTCGAGAGGCCGGACGGCTCCCACGGCCGGCTGCGAAGGCATCTTGGGTCGATGCTGACTGACGCCAGACCCGGGAGGCTGCACCGGGCAGGGCTGCTCCTCGGGCTCCAGGTGGGGCTGGCGGGTGTGGGGGCCTCTGTCAGGAGGGTCCCCACGGTGGCACACGGCAGCCCCAACGCCTCTGCTTCCCCTGCAGCCATCTTCTACACCGCGGCCATCCTTGGGCCGGCCGCCGGCTACCTGCTTGGAGGCGCCATGCTGAACATTTACACGGACGTGGGCAGACGGTGAGTGACCTGGGCCGCGCCCCTGCCTGTCACCCACAGGGACAGCACCGAGCAGCAGGAGGGTCCATGTGTCCCTAGAACGTGGTTCTAACTGAGCAGGGACCACAGGGGAGTCAGGGAGTCGCGCTGGGCACAGCTGGTGCCCGCCGGGCAGGGGGGCAGAAGGGCAGGAGGACAGGAGGGCCAGGGCTGGCTCCGCTCTGCACGGCTCTGGGTCTGTGGGTGGCGCTGGGAGCCAGGCCTGGCGGAGGCGCCGGGCGGACGGGCGGCAGCCTGAGCCCAAGAGCTCCGACGCCCATGGAGCCCTGGTCACGGTTTCTCCAAGTGGCCTGAGATTCTTTCGCTTCCTTCATTTCCTTGTATCTTTCGTTTGTGGCACCAGGTTTTGCAAATTTAAGCTGGAAAGTGGGAAAACAAGAGAGATGGAGGGAGGGACAGAGAGACAGGGACGGAGACCGAGACACAGAGACGGGGACGGGGAGGGAGGGGCAGGCCTGTGTCCTCGCTGGCCGGGCTCTGCAGGGTCCATCCTCCCCCTGCACGCAGGGCCTGCCCCTGCTACGTTTCCACGACTACCCGCTAAACTGCGTCACAGACACCGCTACACCCGGGACTCTTTCTGCAGCTGGGCCTCTCGCCGGGGTTTCTAGTGCTCTGACCTCCGTGGAGCCACCCTCGGCCTCGGGCTGACACGGGGTCAAGGGCACGTCTGTGCTGGGCCTGGAGGCAGGTCAGGGTCGGGCTCCCGGCCCTCTCTGCCGTCCCAGCCCGCTCTGGGATCCGGCCCGCTTTGCAGGCAGGGCTTTGCAGGGGCTCGAGGCAGAGCCAGGGCCCGGCCCTGCAGGTGGCCCTGGCATTTCCGTGCTGGAACAAGGCGGGAGCCCGCCCGAGCCGGCCGGCCGAGGCCTCACAGGGTGTTGGCGCTCCCTGCGTCCCCGCTGTCCCTTCACCTCTCTGCTGCTCTGCTCTCGGCCGCCGCCCCCCTGTGCTGACCGTTCCCGGGAGCCCAGTGTGCCTGCAGAGTGTGACGCGCCCTAACAGTCCCTTTGCGGGGAGCTCCGGCGAGCTCCAGCTGGGCCCTCTGCCCCGAGCTCCAGGAGGCCCTGGGGACGCCATCTGTCACCCTCTGCACTGGTGGGGAGGGACGCCTCACCCGGCTGTTGCTTGGGGAGCCTGCCGCCCCACCCCCGCAGCCCCGCTGTGGTCTCACTGTGAGCACCGGGCCACAGGCCACGTCTCGGGACCCCGAGCGTGGGTCAGGGCGTGGAGCCATCTGTCCCCGGGGGGAGCGGCCGAGCCAGGGTGCTGTTTGCTTCAGCCTGCAGGGAAGGGGTGGGCCTGCAGCTGGCATCGCCGTGGGCCTGTGCTGACCAGGGACCCTGGAAGTCCCCTGCCCGGTGCGTGTGCCATGCAGGACACGATGGCCGCACGCTGATTCACGTGCCACCACAACTCTCCACAGGACAGAGCTGACCACTGAGAGCCCGCTGTGGGTGGGTGCCTGGTGGATTGGCTTCCTGGGCGCGGGGGCCGCTGCCTTCCTCATCGCCATCCCCATCCTCGGCTACCCCCGGCAGCTGCCAGGTGGGTTTCCCCGCCCCAGCCCAGCCCCTTAGAGCCGGGGAGGAAGGACACCCCTCCCGCCCCGTCCTCCTCCCCGCCACGCGAGATTCCACAGCAAACCCCGTTCTCTGGGGCAAAACCTTTGATCTCCACCCTCCTGCCCCGGCGGGAATGGGCTTGTCCCAGACACGACGGCCCGTCGGCCCCTCCTTCCCACCTGTCCCACGCGTGGCCCTCACTCTCGTGCCCCCACCCTGTCACATCCTCGCGTGGTTTCTGTCCACCACCCTCCAGCCCCGGGTCTGCCATCGTGGCACGGTGACATTTCCAGACCCAGCAGTGGGGGAGGGGCTCCCACTGACAGCCTGTCCTTCCAGGCTCCCAGCGCTACGTGGTCATGAGGGCGTCGGAGACGCAGCAGCTGAAAGACGACGGCCACGGGGCCACGAGCAGCCCGGACTTCGGGAAAACCATCCGAGATCTGCCCCTGTAAGACCCGGGGGGTCGCCGAGCCCTGTGTCCTCAGACCCGCCGAGGACCCCAGGGGGACAGTCAGAGTGACCCCTCCGGGGTCCCGTGGGAAGGGCCCCTGTCGTGACCCTCCGGTCCCTGGAACGTGGGCTGAAAGGTTGAGGAGCAGCAAACGGAGCCTCCTGGCCGCGGCCCAGGCCCCGAGTTAGGGCTGCGCCCGCCGTGGCCGGCCCTGCACCCTGTGGGGACAACCAGAGCCCCGACCTGTTGAGGTGCTAGAGGGACAGCGGGGAGGCTGGGGGGTCCGGGTCTCTCCTCTGGGTTGAGCCTTCCCTGGGGGGCTCTCAGGGTGGTCACTGCTGAGCCCTCCGAGGGGCCATGTCCTATCAGCACGTCCCTGGGCTCGCGGTGGCCACGTGGGGGTGATAGGCTGGGGAAGGACAGCGTCAGGGCCCAGGTGGCCCACTGGGGCCATCCCCTGCGCAGGGGCAGGGCTGAGGTGGGGAGTAGACGCTGCACAGGGCTTTTCTGGGGGGCTCCCCATCCTGTGAGACCCCTGAGGGGCTGGGAGCTGCCTGCCAAGGACCTCGCGGCCGAGCGGACCCAGGCCCCCCTGGCCAGGCTTGCTGGCACTTCCTCCAGGGGCCCGGCTGCCCGCCCTCCCCATACTCCTGTCCCGAGCTGGTCCCTGCCATGGGCGTGGGGACCCTAGGTCTCCTGCTCTGTGAGTGATGAAGAGGTCTGTGCCCAGGGCCCGTCCCTGAGCAGCTGCTGCAGCGAGTAAATGCTGGGCCTGGCGCCCTCTGTTACAGCCGTGACTAATTATCCGGGCAAATTGAGCACCCGGCGGGCTTCGATTGGGAAACGAGGAAGTCTGTGCACCCTCGGGAGACTCCCGCACCCTCCTGACCGGCCAAGCACCCGGAGCCTGGGCAGGCCTGGGCAGGGCCCAGGAGGAAGTCACCGGGACTGTTCCTCCCGCCCGGTCCTCACCGCCGAGACCAGCTGGGGCAGCGCCGCTCTGGGAGGGGACTTCCTCACGCCCCATCTTGTCCCTTTTGTTAAGACATGAGCCCCGCTGGGCGCGGTGGCTCACGCCTGTCATCTTAGCACTCTGGGAGGCTGAGGCAGGAGGATCGCTCAAGGTCAGGAGTTCAAAACCAGCCTAAGCAAGAGCGAGACCCCGTCTCTACTAAAAATAGAAAGAAATTAATTGGACAACTGAAAATATATAGAAAAAATTAGCCGGGCATGGTGGCGCATGCCTGTAGTCCCAGCTACTCGGGAGGCTGAGGCAGGAGGATTGCTTGAGCCCAGGAGTTTGAGGTTGCTGTGAGCTAGGCTGATGCCACGGCACTCACTCTAGCCCAGGCAACAGAGTTGCCTGTCTCAAAAAAAAAAAGATGTGGGGCCCACGTAGCTGATCAAAAAGAAAGCCTTTCCAACCCCAAGGTTAGAAAGTAGGTTTTGGAAGAACTGGGCTCCCCTGTTCTAATCAGGGCGGGGACAAAAGAAGGCTGGTCGTGCCCCCGTGCAGTGAGTCTGAGTGAAGCCGTGTGCACCGACGGCGGCCAGCGTCTGCGCAGCCGGCGTGGGGCAGCCGCTCCGGGAAGGGCCCTCGGAGAGCCAGCCGGGCCCACCCAGGGCGCCTTGGAGGGGCCCCCATTCCAAATCAGAAGGGCTCCCAGCCCCACCGTCTCCCGGGGCTGGTGGCTGAGAATGGCCCCACCATCAGTGCCCCGTCCTCCTGCCCTGGGGGCCCGTCCAGTCCCGGCCATGGTGGCCTCTGCCCCCCAGCCGGCACCACTGACCGGGGGTGATTGAACAGGGCCCCGGGCCATGTGGGGTCTTCCCCCACCAGAAGCCAGGGTCGGGCCAAGGGGTGATAAAGTTCTTCTGTAAACAGTTACTGCAGCTTTGGGGACAAGCGGCCACAGGCTCGGTCACGGGGTCTCTACCTGCTGGAGCCCAGCCCTGCAGCCCGTCTGTGCTACTCTGCACCCCACCCCCTTCCCTCCCAGGACCGGGCCCTTTGTGCTCAGGGGAAGAGGCGACAGCCTGGGGAACAGCAGTTTTCTCACACCTGGGTCTGGCCCACCCTGACCCTCTGTCTCTTCTCTCTGGTCTTCATACTGCTCCTCTGTCCAGCTCCCTCTGGCTACTCATGAAGAACCCCACCTTCATCCTGCTCTGCCTGGCGGGGGCCACCGAGGCCACGCTCATCGCCGGCATGTCCACGTTCGGCCCCAAATTCCTCGAGTCCCAGTTCAGCCTGAGTGCCTCGGAAGCTGCCACCTTGTTTGGTGAGAAACCCGAACCTGGGGTCCTCTGCTTTTTCATTCGCTCTCGGATGAGTCGGGGTCTTTGAGGACATCTTCTAGAAAGATCCAGACAGGGCACGCACTCGGGGGAGGGCCCCAGCCCAGGGTGCAGGAGCTGAGGGCGCCCTGGGGCTCTGCGAGGAGGCCCCGCCGCCCACGGCACTGACCAGAGCTGCCCGGCGGGCAGGCAGGGCTGCGCCTCCCCTCGGGGGTTTGGGAAGTGCCACCACAGCCACTGACCAGGTGGGAGGGCGGGGTGGGCTCCACCACTCACCACCTGGCCTCAGCCTCCAGGATTTGCTCCAGGGAGGGTTTGGGCCCGGCTGTCCCTGTGTGCCTGGTGGCAGGTGGCCCAGGTCTGCAGAGGGTGGGCCCCTTCTCTGCCAGGGTGCACCAGGAAACCCATGCCACCCCATGACTTGCTTGGCAGGAGGGGCAGGTGTGTGGGGTCCTGCTGGGCGGGGGGCGTGTCCAGGAAGCCTGTGCCCATCCTTCAGGGCTCCACTCTGTGGACCCTCTCCCCTCCCCCTGCCTGGCCTGGCTTCTCGGGCTGACCCCACGCACCTGGAACCCCATCCAGGACAACTTCCTCCCTCCCAGCCCCCCTCCCCCTGCCCAGGGGTCACCCCCACGGGCTCCCACCACTGGGCGCTGTCAGCCTGGAAGCCACGTGCTGGCTAATCCCAACTCTGTGCCAGAGGGCGGTGGCCGTGGGCTTCTGTCACAGCTGCAGGGACTCAGCAGGGGGTACGTGGGCAGACAGCATGGTTGCCCTGGGGGCCTTCCCGTGACCGGCCTTCTCATCAGGGCGGGGCTACTGGGCCTCCTCCAGGTTCCGCCCTGCCCCTCCCTGCAGGCCCTGGACGGGCGCCGGGGGCTCTGCCTGCCACTGGGCAGCCTTTGATCCCGGGGGCTCTGCCTGCAGCTGGGCAGCCTTTGATCCTGGGGGCTCTGCCTGCAGCCGGGCAGCAGTTGATCCATCTGTGCCTCAGTTTCCCCGCCTGTGCAGTGGAGATAATAAGAGCGGGGCTAATGCCACACCCCCGGGGCCTTCCCGAGTCCCACTAAGCCCTGCCCTGTCCCCAGGGTACCTGGTGGTGCCGGCGGGCGGCGGCGGCACGTTCCTGGGCGGCTTCTTCGTGAACAGGCTGAAGCTCCGCGGCCCCGGCGTCGTGAGGTTCTGCCTGCTGTGCGCCCTGGTCGGGCTGCTGGGCATCTCCGTGTTCTCCCTGCACTGCCCCAACGTGCCCATGGCGGGCGTCACGGACAGCGACGGCGGCAGGTGAGGACAGGCCCTGGTGGGGGCAGGGTGAAGAGCGGTCGTTTTTGGGGGGGTCAGGGGTCAGGACAGCTCAGCACCAGCAAGGGCAGTGCCCCTCGGCACACACGGCCCCCCTTAACGCCCGAGTGGAATGACGCCAAGTCGGCCCGGCTCTGTCCCCGGGGAGGGGCCTGTCCCTCTCCGGCCTCAACCTTCTCTGTAAACGGGACAGTCCTGGCCCGGCACACGGTCCTGGAAGCGTCCCCGTGTTGACACGGGATGGCCTGGGGCCAGGCCCTGGGGGTGCCGTGGTGGGCCATGAGGGGCAGCCCGTCCGGCGGCTGGCAGGGCCCAGATGCCGCACACAGCCTGCACCTCGGCCGGGGCTGTCCGCGGGAGTTCCCGTGGCAGGTGTGGCATGAGGCGTGTGGTGTGTGGCGTGGGAGGTGCAGAGCCCTCTGCCGCGCGGTCAGTCATCGCAGGCCCAGGAACAGCCCGAGGAAGTCAGGAAGGTGTGCACAGCGGACGCCGCGCCGCGAGGGGCTGGGGAGTGCGCCGTGACACAGTGAAGACCTGAGTCAGAAAGGGGGGTGCATATGTGTGGCCGCCACCTCGTGTGCACGCAGATCGCCTCTGCACACGCGTGGGCCGGCCAGCCTGTGGCTGGAGACCGAGGGTTGGGGCCACGGGGGTGTCTCTTCCTGGGCACTCTGGCAATTGACGCAGCACCTGTGTTGCCCACCCCCCAAAGCAACCAACAAGCATGAGTGTCCCCCATGTGTGCCCACGTGTGCCCCGCATGTGCGCTGAGGACAGCCGTGGCACCCTCAGGCAATCTCACCCGCCTGGGTGGCGCAAGCTCAGAGAGTCTGCAGACCCAGGGGAGGCTGGGTGAGGACAGGCCGCGCCCCGAGGCTGTCCCCGTGCCCGAGACACCCGCCTGGCCTGGCCCAGGTCCCCTCACCGCCCTTCCCCCACAGCCTCCTGCTCGAAGGCCGCCTGAACCTGACCATGCCCTGCAACGTGGCCTGCGCCTGCCGGCCCGAGCACTACAGCCCTGTGTGCGGCTCCGACGGCGTCATGTACTACTCGCCTTGCCACGCGGGGTGCCGCGCAGCCTCCCAGACCGGCCCGGGCGGCCAAAAGGTGAGTGGACCGCCGCCCGTAGCCCCTGCCCCACCCGGGCCCTGGGAGGGCCGCACCTTCCTCCTGTAATCAGCGCTGTTTGGGCTCCTCAGGTGTACCGAGACTGTAGCTGTCCTCAGAATCTGTCCTCTGGTCTGGGCCAGGCCACCGCAGGGACATGCTCTTCCGCTTGTCCGAGAAAGCCCCTCCTCCTGGGTTTCGTTTTCGTTGTAATTTTCTTTACGTTCCTCAGCAGCATCCCCGCGCTCATGGCAACGCTACGGTAAGCCCAGTTTGCGCTTGTCCGGAACCTTCTCTTGCAGCCCTGGAAGGTGGAGCTCTGCAGACCCTGCAACCCCGCACGGCAGGCCTGTCCATCTGACCTCTGGCGAGGTGCCGGCCACCCGGGGAGGTGGCGGTGTGGCCAGGGGCGGGCCAGGACCCGGCCGCCAGCGTGGGGGTGTGGCGTGGCACGCAGCCCACCCTCGGGTACCGATGCTGCGGTTTTCCATTGCAGGTGTGTCTGTGACCGGCAGAGATCCTTTGCGCTGGGAATCCAGTGGATTGTAGTTAGAACACTAGGTACTGTGCGGCGCGAGGAGGCCACGGCCGGTCGTGCAGGGTGTTCACTGCACAAGGGCACCCGGCGGGTGTGCATCCCAGCACCCGCCCTGTCCCGTGGGGAAGAGCTCCGTTCCCCAAGTGACCACTAGAGGGGCCCACGGCCATTCGTTTGCCCAGTGGGTTTCTTTCCCTTGGAGATCTCGGGAACTCCCAACCGGTGCCAAGCCCCCTTTGCCCGTGAGAGCCCCTGAGAATCCCCGCAGCCAGTGTCACCTTCCCAGAGCCTGTCGTTCCCGGTCCCTTGCCCACCCGGCGCCCCGTCCGGCCACATGCCAGGCGCTGAGCGAGCTTCTCTCCGCAGGGGGCATCCCAGGGCCCATCGCCTTCGGCTGGGTGATCGACAAGGCCTGCCTGCTGTGGCAGGACCAGTGCGGCCGCCAGGGCTCCTGCCTGGTGTACTGGAACTCGGCCATGAGCCGCTACATGCTCATCATGGGGCTCCTCTACAAGGTGAGCCGGGCCTCTGGGCGGGTCTGAGCGCCAGCGCCGAGGAGGGGAGCGATTCCGCCCCAGCCAGCCAGGGCTCCGGGACACCCGGGGCTCTTCCCCAGCTCAGCCCCAGCCCTGGGGTGCTGCACGGACGTCACAGTCACTAGATGGGGCGTGTGCACCTGCTGGCTGCAGGGACTCAGGACACAGGACGGCCACGGAGAGAGAGCAGGCCTGGCCCGGGGCCGCCTTCTGGGCTCATGCTCCGAGCCCCACCAGCCCCCAGCCTGGGCGAAGGGGCAGCCACACTCCCACCTTCCGGGGGGGGGCCTCCTCGCTGGCCCGGGCTGGTGCCTGGTGGCCCCCGTGAGCCGAAAGCTCTGGGGAAACACAAGTGGCTCCTCCCCGACCGGGCAGCTTTCTATGACTGTCGCCACCCAGGGGCCTCGGCCGGGGGCGCGTGGCATTAGCTTCCCGCGTCTCCAAGCCGGACTTGCACTTCTCAAGCTGCCCAGAGAAACTTCCTGCTGTAGCTCTTGGCGTGTGAGACCCAGGAAGAAATGCGGTGTTTATATTTTGAATTTCCCCATTAGAGGAAAAATAACAAAACCTTCTAAGTAAAATGGAACCCTAGGGCCAGCCACTCAGAGGGGCTTGAGCTCTTCCGTGGGTGGCAGACACCCGGGTTCCACGTGGGGAGCACACGGCCCAGGTGCTGCTGGGACGGAGCCCCGGGGGCAGGGACAGACCAGCTGGCTGGTGTCCCCCCGGGTGGGCGGCCCTGGGCGGCGCAGTGGGTGAGCTCACAAGGACCGCAGCTGCCCCTCGAATCTGAGCAGTCACTTACCGAGGTTTCAGTTACCCGAGGTCAACCTAGGTCTGAAAATATTTAACGAAAGATTTCAGAAAAAAGCAATTCGTAAGTTCTAGGTTGTGCACGGCCCTGTGTAGCGGGCGGAGCCCCTGCGTCCTGCCCAGGCTGGGTCTGCCCGGCGTCTCCACGCCGCAGCCACTCCCGCCTCTTGTCGCCGTGGCCGGCGTGGCTTTCAGACCCGCAGTGAGGCGCCGCCATCGCAGGGCTGCGTTCTCGTAACTGTCAACCTAAAATAATCAAAAGTTTCAGATAGGCGGGGCGGCCAGGCTCACACCTGCAATCCTAGCACTCTGGGAGGAGAGGCGGGAGGATCGCTCAAGGTCAGGAGTTCGAAACCATCCTGAGCAAGAGTGAGACCCCGTCTCTACTAAAAATAGAAAGAAATTAATTGGCCAACTAAAAATATACAGAAAAATTAGCTGGGCGTAGTGGCGCATGGCTGTAGTCCCAGCTACTCAGGAGGCTGAGGCAGGAGGATCACTTGAGCCCAAGAGTTGTAGATTGCCGTGAGCTAGGCTGGCGCCACGGCCCTCTAGCCCGGGGGACAGAATGAGACTCTATCTCAAAAAAAAAAAGTCTCAGATCCAGTTAAAAGAGTTTATTTGAGGGCAAAGTTTGGGGAGTCCGGGGACACAGGGACACTGACGAGGGGTGACCGGCGCTCCGGGTGCAGGGAGAGAGAGGACGGTGGACACAGGCAGACATGAGGGGCTGAGCGGTCATGTCTTCACGCCAAGGCCCACATCCGGTGTGAGACTCGGTTGGCCACTGTTGACCCCTCGCTGAAGAGGTGCTTGACCCTCCGTTGTAAGGTGGTCACCCCACGGGGCTCGGTGTCCGCGACCGAGCCGGGGTTTGTGCAGCCACCGAGAGCCCGGCCGGCAGGTGCGGCTTCGGCACAGAGGTGGGAAGCCACGGTCAGGCACAGAGAGGAAAACAGCGGTGCCGCGTCTGCGGCCCCCAGGCCCTGGGCCAGGACTGGCAGGTCCGTGGCCCCTTAGGAGCCAGGCAGAGCAGGAGTGACGCCGGGAGAGCTAAGTGTCACCTGTACCTACAGCCGCCCCCACCGATGAGCCCTGCGTGGGACTCGCAGGAGCGCCCCCGCTGCACGCCGCGCGGGGAGGGGTGTGGGTGCGGCTCCTCCTGGGAACCCAGCGCCCGGTGGGCTGCGGCGGAGCTCGGCGGGGACTGGCAGGGGTCTGACGGCGCAGAGTCCACCGTCGCTCACTCGCTCTCAGACACGTGTCCAAACCCGGCCGTGAGTGGGGCGGCGACGTAACAACGACAGAAATAAGCTGCGAGACAAATCTAACGCGCCTGAGCCAGCCCGAAACCATCCCCGCCACCCCTGGCCCGTGGGAAACTGTCTCCCGTCAAACCCATCCCTGGGGCCAAAGAGGTGGGGGGGCCGCTGCGTTACGAGCCTCGGTTTCCAGAGCTTAGCCTTGCCCCTTGGCGCAATAAATTTGGAAGGCCCTGAAATCTTTTCTTTTCACACGGCCCTTAAGTCACTCAACAGTGGCCCCAGAGCTGCCGAGAGGCCGGGAGGAGCCGCCAAGTGCTTCCTGCAGGGAGGGGCCTTGGCGTTGCCTGGCTAGGCTTGTCCCGCCCAGGGGTTCAGGCGCTGCTGGAGGTCTTACGCCCCAGCATGAGGGTGAGGCGGGGCCACCGTGCAGCTCCCAGGAAGTGTCCCGAGGCCCAGGCCCCGCCCCGACGCCCCGGAGCTCAGGCAGCGCCATGAGGGCCAGGTTTGCCCTCAGCAGCTCCGGCTTGGTGCCAGTTCCAGGAGGGAGCGGATTTAGGGCGCCCCTTACGCCCTGACGACCTCTGACCTGGTCACATCTATGAAGTCCCTATTTCCAGAGAAGGTCCCGTTCACAGGCACCCGTGGTGAGGACGTGGGTGCCTCTTTCTGGGGACACTGCCCCCCCCCACGGCCAGACCCCGCGTGACCTGCCGAGCTCTGTGTTCCGTCAGCCGGCGTTTTCCTCCCCGCGCGGCGCTGGGAGCGGCTACGTGGGCAGCATCTCTGCAGAGCAGGCCGGGTGGGGCGGGCAGGGCTGGGGGACGGCCGGTGGCCCCGGGCCAAGCAGCTCCTCCCCCCGCAGGTGCTGGGCGTCCTCTTCTTCTCGGCCGCCTGCTTCCTGTACAAGCCCCTGGCAGCATCCTCAGACGGCCTGGAAGCTTCCCTGCCCAGCCAGTCCTCGGCGTCCGGCAACCCCACGCCCCTCCAGCTCCGGAGCGACGAGGTCTGACCACCCACCTGCCCCACACGGGGACACCGAAGCCCCTCACGTTTCCCGCGCCGCGCACACGGCCTGCCACGGCGGTGAGGGGCCCGCCCCTCCCGAGAGCTGCAGGGCTGAGGGCCGGGCGTTTGCGCTGGATCCGGGGCCACAGCGGGGTCCTGTCGGAGCCTGAACCGGAAAAGGCACCGAGAGACAGCGATGTGAGGCGCGTCCCACGTGAGCCGCGCGCCGCCCCCACGGTGCTTCTGGGCGGGGCCGCTGCGTCGCGAGGACGCCTGCCCGGCCCCCACTTCCCTGGGCGACTCCCGCGCATGGGACCTTCCACGTGACCCGTGGTTTACGGTCTGCTGTGACCGCCCGTCCCCAGAGCTGAGCAGCCCGCCGTGGGAGCAACGTGCAGAGACAGACACGTGTGGACCGTGTTTTTCACAGATCGTATTTACAGAGCTGTTTTGTACCCGGCCGCGTGGCGTGGGCAGGCGTGGGCAGGTGTGGGCAGGTGTGGGCAGGGGCTCTGGGCCCAGCCCCAGACGTGGACTGTGTCCCCCTGCGGGATGTCTCTTTCTGCGTGTCCTTAGTTAAAACTCCGCACATGTGAATATATTTTATTACTTAAACCAGACGTCCCTGTGTGGTGTGTCTTTTGTCAATGAGTTTGTGAGGTTGGCGGCTTCGCCTGTCCTCTGTGCGGGTTTTTGCGTGGGCACCGGCCAGAGGCAGGGTCCTGGCGCCGTCCCTGGCGCGGTCCCGGCTCCCTGCCTTTGGGTGGCGCAGGAGCGTGTGTGTGTGTGTGTGTGCGCGTGTGCATGTGCGTGTGTGTGTGTGTGCATGTGTGCATGTGCGTGTGTGTGTGTGCATGTGTGCATGTGCGTGTGTGTGTGCGTGTGCATGTGTGCATGTGTGCATGTGCGTGTGTGTGTGTGCGTGTGCATGTGTGCATGTGCGTGTGTGTGTGTGCATGTGTGCATGTGCGTGTGTGTGTGTGTGTGCGTGTGCATGTGTGCATGTGCGTGTGTGTGTGTGTGTGTGCATGTGTGCGTGCCTGCCGGCATGTACACACGCGTGTGTGGAAGCTCCAGGAGGTCTGGCTTCTGCCGCGGCTCTCGGGCGGGCCCTGCCTCCTCCCGGGAGGTGGTGAGCCGTCCTGAGATCTGCCCGGTGGCTCTAGGGGCTGCTGGCGGCAAGGACCCCGTGGGAGAGCCCCTCGGGAGGACACAGGCCCCGGCCCCGGCCACATGCGTGCCCCACGGTGACCCTCTGAGGTCAGACAAAGGTGGGGAGGTTGGGCGGCAAGGAAACAGCAGAGCCAACCTGGGGGACGCGCAGCCCCGGGGTGGCAGCGTGGGGACAGCAGTGCGAGAGCCTGGGTCCCGGGAGGGCGGTGATGGCCTGTCTGTTGGAGCAGCAGTCGGCAGAGCCCCCGCGGCTCGCCCTCTCCCCTCGCTGTCCGCTGCTTCCGAGATTCCAGGACCTCGGCAAACGTTGCCGGCTGCTCAGACCCTTGAGTCCCACCCGCGAGTCGGGGACGATTCTGACCCCTGGGAGTAGAGAGGAGGGGTGGCTTTCAGCAGCGGGGTCTGGGTGCGCCCGCACTGCCTCTCCCTTCCTTGCTCTGACCCCATTGTCCGCTCCCTGCTCCCCTTCCCTGCTCCCCTTCCCTGCTCCCCTCCCTGCTCCCCTTCCCTGCTCCCCTTCCCTGCTCCCCTCCCTGCTCCCCTTCCCTGCTCCCCTTCCCTGCTCCCCTTCCCTGCTCCCCTCTGCAACATGGGCAAGCCAAGCCATGGCCCTGCAGGGGAAGGGGCAGCAGGGAGGAACTGGCCCTGACGATGCCAGGAAGGGGGTCCTCCCGGCCCAGCAGTGCCTTCCCTGGTTGCAGCCGCATCGACCTCTCCCCTACACTCCGGCCACCCACCACCCGCACACGGCTCCCAGTGCCCTGGGGCATCTCCAGAACCTGATGGCAAGAACCCCCCACCTCCCTCCCAAACTGCGCCTCTGGTCTGGCTCCCAGGTGGTTCCCCGCCTCCCCGTCCACCTCGATCTAAAAACGCCAAGGAGTGGCCTCTGTGGCCCTCGTGTCCCTCTGGCCTCCGCCCGGCCTCCTGGGTCCTGCACTTGCTCCTTGCCTGGCCAGACATGCAGGCCACCTCCCGCTACATAACGAGTTAGCGATTTAGCGTTAGGGACCAGGTTGCCCCTCCCAACTTCCTCCCCAGGTCTGGAGGGTCTGCTGGAACCCACGCTGGCTGCACCACCTGCAGCCTCCTCCCACTCTGGCAGCCCCCACGCGCCCCGCCCCCTTGACGCTGCCCTTCCCTGTCGACAGTTTGCGGGTCTCATGCAGACCGGGGAGGGACAGGAGCAGACGGCTGGGCTGACGGAGGCGGTGGACCCGGGCACAGAGACCCCTGAGCCCGGGTGACAGAGCATCCTTGTGACTCAGTGCGGGGGCGCAGGGTCACAGGAGCGCCCGACCTGGCAGGACACGCTGCACCCTCGGGTCCCTGCGGGCACCAGTCCGGGCTGCCGTCCCGCGGCTGGCCCTGCCCTCCAATGTCCTGGGGCTCAGAGAGGGAGTCCCCGGCCCAGCCAGGAAGGCACAGCCACGGGGCCCGCGCCTGTGGGCCCGGGAAGGGAGGGGCAGGCAGGACCCCGAGGCAATTCGGTGGGAAGAGCCTGACCACGGCAGGAAGAGCGCACCTGCGCCACCGTGAACTCGTCAAGGGTCAGGCGCGGCAGAGGTCAGAAAGTGTCAAAACCTCTGGTTGCTGAACACGTTCCTCTCATTCTTACGTTCGTTTGAAACAATCACTGAACCGGCGCATGCGGAGAACTCGGCCAGCCCCGCAGCTCACAGGCAGTCCAGCCCCAAGACAGGCCAAGAGTCCGAATCCACGTTTCCTCAGACGACGTGAACAGACGGCTGAATGCCCAGACGCTTGACGTGGCCGGTGTTGGGGAAGCAGAGCCAAAGCCACGACCAGCCGCTGCCACCCGCCTGCCAGGACCCCAGGAGCAGAGAGGAACCAACCAAAAAGTGACACGTTGTGGCGCAGATGCTGGGAGCCCGGGACACTCACGCCCTGGGGGGGGGGAGAGGGGAGAAGAAACGGCACACCCACCTGGGAAACCAGATTTGAACCCAGAGTCTCCCCACGTGTGGCCGGCAATTCCACTCCTGGGTGTGGCCACGCAAAATGCAAATGCGTCTTCCAAGCGTCCCTGTCACAGCCAAAAGGCAAAACCAACCCCAACGCCGCTGGCTCCACCAATAACAATGAGCGTGGCCCGTCCACAGGGTGGAATATCATTCAGCCACGGAACGAGGAGGCTCTGACGTGGGCCACCGCGTGGACAGACCCGGAAACAGTGTGCTGAGTGAAAGACGCCACACACAAAAGGCCACATGTTTTATGGTTCCGTGTATGGGAAATGTCCAGAATAGACAAGTCTGAAGAGACAGAACATAGATCAGTGGTCGCCAGGGCTGGGGCGGGGGGACGGGGGAGGAGTGCGGGCGGGAGCAGCGGCGGAACGTTCCGGAGTCAGAGCGTGGCGGCGGCTGCACAACTCTGCGAGTGAGCGGAACGAAAAGCCACTGCACTGCGCACTTCAGAGGGCGCATGTCAGGGTGTGCGACTTGACACAGGCATCGCCGGGCGCCTGCGTGCGCCCATCACTGCTCCAGACCTGGAGACAAGCAGACGAGGTCCTGGCCCCCGTCACTGGCTCTCCAGCGAGGGTCCCACGGCGGCAACCCGTCGCCAGGAAGGCAGCGTGGGGGGTGGGGCCCGGGGTCTGGCTGCACCACGAGTCCCCTCCCTGCCTGCTTCCCCAGGGAGGCGGGAGGCTGGGAAGAACATGAGTCATCCCATGCGTGGACTGCCCTGGGGCAGACGGCGTGTTCCAGCCACGGTCACAGGCACGTCCCCGTGCACCCCCTTCTGCCTGCTGTGCCAGAACCCCGTGCACCCCCTTCTGCCTGCTGCGCCAGAACCCCACGGCGTCCTCATAAGCAGGTGGGGTCTCTGCCCGACCCTGGAGCCGGGGCGGGCGGCTGGGACTGCCTCAGTGGGGAGGTCCCTCTGGGCGTGCTCGCCCTCACAACCCAGCGAGAGCCCCACCACAGGGGCAGCCCTGGCACGTGCACCAGCTCCCAGCACTGGGCCGTGCCACCTCGGACCCCCGGTCCCCAGGTGAGCCACCCCGCTGCTGTCACACACACAGGGAGGAGCCGTCCCCAGGGAGCTGTGCCTGAGCCCCGGTTCTGTGCAGAAAGGAGGTGGTTGTTGCTGTCGTAGCCTGGTGACCCTGCCGTCAACAACCTGGAGGAGAGTGTGGCCGGGCCAGCAGGACCTGGCGGAGGGACCTGCAAGGCAGCAGCGGATGGGACGGTTGAGCAGCGTCACCACCCACAGGGACGCGGTGGAAGACGGGCCTCCCAGGCCGGGCGACCCAGCTAAGGAGGTTCCTGTCGGGAACTCTAGCCGGTTCCCTCTGGCTGCGCACGAGGAGGAAGGGGCTGAGTCTTTCTAAAGCGTTAGTGTTCGAGCAAGACTTAGAGGAAATCTGAAGGAGCCGGGACTTCACGGGCTCCAAAGAGAACCGCGGACACCACCCTTACCAGGCGTGGGGAGGACACGGGGCGACTGGGGCTCTCCGACGTCGCTGGTGGACGTGAAGAGTAGGGCGGCCACCCTGGACCCCCCCCAACAGCGTCTTGTAAAGTTAGACCTGAGCTTCCTGTGACCACAGTCCTGCTCCCGGAGACAAGCCCTTGTGTTCACACAAACACGTGTGCACGAGCGTTCGTCCCAGCTCTGTCCTCGTCCGACAGCGTTGCTATAAAGGAACACCACCCCGCGACGGGGTAGTTTATGAAGACAAGAGGTGCATTTGGCTCACTGCTCTGCAGACCGCACGAGAGCACCGCCCAGCACCTGCTCAGCTTCCGGCGAGGCCTCAGGCTGCTTCTACCCAAGGCGAAGGGCGAAGGGGAAACAGCGTGTGCAAGATCACGTGGCAGGAGCCGGCGTGGGCACAGATCCCATGGCAGGAGCCGGCGTGGGCACAGATCCTGTGGAAGGAGCTGGTGTGGGCACAGATCCCATGGCAGGAGCTGGTGTGGGCACAGATCCTGTGGAAGGAGCTGGTGTGGGCACAGATCCCGTGGCAGGAGCAGGCGTGGGCACAGATCCCATGGCAGGAGCTGGCATAGGCACAGATGCCGTGTCAGGAGTCAACATGGGCACAGATGCCGTGGCAGGAGTCAACATGGGCACAGATGCCGTGGCAGGAGTCAACATGGGCACAGATCCCGTGGCAGGAGTCAACATGGGCACAGATCCCGTGGCAGGAGCTGGCGTGGGCACAGATCCTGTGGAAGGAGCTGGCGTGGGCACAGATCCCGTGGCAGGAGCTGGCGTGGGCACAGATCCCGTGGAAGGAGCCGGCATGGGCACAGATCATGTGGCAGGAGCTGGTGTGGGCACAGATCCTGTGGCAGGAGCTGGTGTGGGCACAGATCACGTGGCAGGAGCCGGTGTGGGCACAGATCCCGTGGCAGGAGCTAGAGTGGGCACAGATCCCGTGGCAGGAGCTAGAGTGGGCACAGATCCCGTG